GTATGTCGCCTTCAAAGAACTCGTCCAGGCTGAACCCGCCATCGGTATTGTAGTGTAGCAGACGCATTGTTCGACTAGGTTCGAGGATCGTGAAGAGGAGGGTTCTCGGTAGTAGTTGAGCCGTCGAAGTGGCATATATGCGAAGGGGTGAAGAGTTTATGTTTGGTTGAGGCTGGCGCACTCAGCTGAGCGGCAGCTGAGCGGCAGCCTTGCGGCATCGTCGTACATCACTGGAAGCGCGCAAGACCGGCCAGTAGCTTAGGCTGGAATTCTAGATGCCATAGGCATATCAGATTCGAAGCTAATTTCGTTTAAGCATGATTTGTTTCTGTCATTGTAAAGGAAGCTGAAGAAATAGAAAGTAGATAATAAAAGTAGAGATCTAGGATCCTGAATTTACCTTCGATCTTTGGGGTTCGATTCTATAGCCTTGAATTTCGGCAATAGGCTACTGTATGCGGGGCTGTTCTCCACAAAGGTCGTCACTTGCTTCGATCCGAGGTACCGAATCGCGTAGCTGCCAGACTAGTGGCCAGATGTAATACAGCACATGGAGGCGGCCCGTTCCGGCAACAGCCAAAAATGGCCGAGGTCGTCTGTCCGTGCTCACAATATTTTTTGAGCGAGACGACGCGAAGCCAATTTTGCAAGCTACTGTAGAAGAGAATGTGATGACAGATTGGATGTTAGCCAGAAAAGCCTCCACTGACACTCGTCTGAAAATTAATGCTGTGAATCAGAGTCACGTGTCAGTTTTCCAATTTCGAAATTACCTAGATATTCACAGGTGTAGCTTTCAGCACGCTATTCCAAAAAACGGTTCGCCACCTCGGCAAAACTACTGATCTGCGTGGCGAGTTTAGATAAAACTGCATAGTATAGCCGCCACAAGGTTTGAAAATAATTTCAGGCATAATATTAAATATATATTATATAACTCAGGTGAAATCCTATATAGAAGGTAGAAGTGAGAGAAGTACTAGGGTGGAGGTTTGAGAAGGGAACTGTAATATAGACTTCAAGCGAAGGCATGCTAAAAATTAAGCTGAGAAAAGATTGTATTATTATTTTTCTTAGTAAAGAGTCTCAATTTGTTTAGAATTAACTATATAACAACGCTGGTACAAAAAATATAGAAGTCGCCTATGTTTGTTCAGCTTTTTTTTAGTTTGAAGGTGAAGTACCCACAAAATTTCTCGGCACGGGTGGTTTCTCGTTACGCATGGATGGACGTTATATAATGTAACTGAAATGAAAATAGATAGAAATTTTAGAGCGTTCATAGATTTTATGACGCTTGAACTCGAAGTACCTACGATTTGTCTCGGCACATAGGGTGTCTCGCTACGCAGGGAGGGACGTTAGAAGGTCTTATTTTGTATATAGCAGCGAGTCGTGAACCTAAAACCAGAATTTCACGAAATGAACCAAATGATAAGGCCTTAACGTCCCTCCCTGCGTAGCGAGACACCCTATGTGCCGAGACAAATCGTAGGTACTTCGAGTTCAAGCGTTATAAAATCTATGAAAGCTCTAAAATTTCTATCTATTTACATTTCAGTTACATTATATAACGTCCATCCATGCGTAACGAGAAACCACCCGTGCCGAGAAATTTTGTGGGTACTTCACCTTCAAACTAAAAAAAAGCTGAACAAACATAGGCGACTCTAATATAATTTGTACTAACTTATAAAATAAACTTGTACACCAACGGCCGCGTGCAATAACAATTTGAAATTCCGTCTTTGAAGTAACTTAGCTATCTATTGAGAATAATCGCTGGTACGTCTAGAATAAAAAGGGGGGCTCGCTAATTTAAACCCCGCCAATCAGAGCGGGCCCAAAGCCTTGGCAATCCATCCCAATTAAGCAACACAATAAAAAAACTACAAATCACACCATAACACCTGTGTTCCGTCCCCGAAAGCGGGATAATGTCTCGTAGGATGTTCATGAACTCGGGCGTACTGAGGATCCGGTGCTTTTATCAGTATTGGCCCAATAATTCGCGGTTGGGTGAGTTCGCGTGTAAGATACTTCTGTATGTCGTACCGCTTAGTCCTGAGAAAACTAGGACTGAACTCGCAGGTAATGTGCGTCAAACCCCGAAGTTGCAGAATCTGGTCAAATCCAGGAAGGCGGATCAAGTGCTCGTAGAATGGAGCATTAGCGGAAATATATTTTACATAATCCCGACCAAGTCCCGACTTCATTGGCTGCAACACTTCTGCGTGGTCATCAGAAGGAGTAGCCCCGAATAAACCAGACGGGAGATAGAAGCGTAGATGGAGCTTTTTGAGTCGACTCGATGTCACGAGAGTTTCGAGGACGCCGCGTTTCCAATGTACTGATGGATGAACGTTGATAGTTAATTCGTTTCCAACAGAGTTTATAATTGGTAATAATTCTGCGCCGTAAAGAGGGTCAATTTGAAAATCATTAGTATAGAACACAGGGCGTGCCTCGAGGCTGATCTGCTTATTGACTTGGAGTAATGAAGTACAGGACTTGTCGCATGGTGTACGGAACTTCTCCTTTCCTGGTTTAAGTGGAACACCCGCGACAAGGACATAGGAGTAAATCATGTTTCGTATTTCTAACGGAAGTTGAAGGAAATTGAATACGGGCACTTCAGATATTAGTACTAATCCCTGGGATACAGCAAAGAACTTACATGATATTGTTTCGCTAGCAGCCTGATAGACTGACTGTCTATCACTGCGATAATGCTATCCAACATCCAAGAAAAGCTAAAAGGCTTGTTTCCCCACTGCCGAAGAGTACCGTCGCGATCCAAGCATTCGCTATCCGGCCATAATATGCAGCTGGTAAGCACCGTTGGTGGTATAGAGTTGGCGGTTGCTCTGTGAGCCACATATTTCAAGAGTGGCTCATGGTACCCAGAGGAACAATTAGCTACGGCCCATTCGTAAATGGTTGGTGACGAAAGTTCACCACACGCTTCGATAGCATCAAGCACATCGTCGAACAACTGCGGACATGTGACATCTAATGCAACACGACCTAACATAATCAATGCCTTAATGCCTGGGTACTTGTGCCCATTGCTGAGATGCTTAGAGTATAACCAACGCAAAAAGCACTCGACTGCTTCGGCATTGGAAAGAATGTCATGTGTAGATTTTTGACCAAGATAGTGCCTACCAGCACTGAATGAGAGGACTGTTCCCTGGGCATGGAACATGGTGGTGTAATGCTGGAACTCATGTAGGACATGACTGTGTACAAGTGTTCCTGGAAATATGCCGTTGGTACGAGAACCATTGAAATGGTGGAACAAAACCATGTCATTTGGCCAACTTGTGAGAACTGATTAGCGGATTGAGTGCAAAGGGGTAACAAATCATTACATACTGGAATATCATGATAGAAGCAATGAAGAGTGTAAAATGTACTCAATAATAGGTAGGGTAGCAGGGTACTTATACAATCATGACAGGGAATCTTCGGGGCAGCATTCCGGGGGGATCGACAATCCGGGGCGGATTTTGGCACTTTGGCCGGCCTTTTTTTTCCCGGATAAAATAAGTGGCACAGTTCCCCCCGTTCGGGGACTATACCGACATCGCTAATGGGGAGCGATTCTGTCTTCCATTTTCTTTCACGACACGCTAATGAGATAAATATCAAACTCGACAGGATGACAAGCCGGCTTTGGAGTATAAGTAACTGTCCTTACAAAATAGAAGCACTAGTGAGAGATCAGGGTCTCAATTGCGTCTTTGGAAATTCAAAGAGAAGTATGACATCACAGATTCATGGTGAGAGGCCATTGAAGCGGGGTAGATATGAGCCGTTGATTACTTTCTAAATCCAATTTCGTTCGTCCATCTTGTGGGCCCAAGGTTGATTTGCTGTGTTCTTTGCCTTCTCCATTATCGCCCCAGCTGTTTGGATATGTTGTATTGCTAGTATAGTCTTCTGCGCGAAAGCCTTCGAGGCCTCCACAATTTCATAGTAGTTTTCATGCTGGCTTCGTACATTTTCGACTTCCAACTTCAGCTTTCGATTTTCCAACTCCAATTTCATAAGCAGTTCAGATGTTGGTGATTTTGGCGGTTAGGGCAGAGTTTTATTGAGAGTATAAACGAGGGTGAAGTGGCTTTATGTTGGAAAACATGATCGTTGATTGTTTAGTGTGGGATGATTGTCTGGTGAAGGATTTTATTGTTGAGTGAAGGGAGATTGTTTGATGTAAAATAATCCCCGGTGGGGAGGGGGAGTCTGAGGGTAGGATATGAGTAGGATATAAGGACAGGAATTTAAGCGGGACCTATGAGGAAGACAATTTAAATTCAGAAAAGTGCGTGTATCAAGGTTGATCTTTATCCATCAACAAAAAGTAATAATTTAATTGGCTCCATGCTCCCTCTACTAATAAGTATTGTCACGTACCTGTTGTGACCATTGCCTTGGTCTTCCTTCCCGTGGAACAAGTCAGCTTCTACCCCTTACCACCCACCTATTGTCAAGATAAACCCAGCAATGTCGAGCGAGCCAATCATAACCACTTATCACCAGTACTATCCTCCTGGAGTCAAACAGGTTCTCGCCTCGGGAAGTAGCGCGTGGGTTGGAGATGTTAATGAGACTACCGTTTTCAAATACCCTCTCGCCCCCGGTGGCGACATGGAACGCCTCAAAATCGAGCAAAAAATTCTTGAAGTGATTTGTCCCCATCCCAGAATTATAACTCTAAAAAGGGTCTCGGACACGGGAATCTATCTAGAGCGTGCCACGAACGGTACTGTAGCTAATTATCTGCTCGACTCTGGCATCCCCTCTTCGTCAATTTCAACTTTGCAGCGAGTGGTCTGGTGCAGAGAGACGGCCGAGGCAGTCGCGTATATCCACACTCGATACATACTGCATTGCGATATTCAGCCTACAAACATTCTTCTCGACGACAAACTGCATATCAAACTCGCGGATTTCCAAGGCAAATTATTAGGGGAAGACGGAAAGGTGTTGTTGGATGGGTGGAGTGGGGAGCCTACTCGATTTGCGTTTCCAAGGACAGGTCTTAGCTCTGATGTTTATACCGAGTTATTTGCACTTGGTTGTACAATATATTTCATTATGATGGGCTATGCGGTGTATCCGGATATCGTAGATGGGTCGGAGGACTGGCGTGAGAGGGTTGCGGAGAGGTTTGAAAAGAAGGACTTTCCACAAGATGATAATGCTTGTAGGGCGATCATTATGAAGTGTTGGATGCAGCAATATGGTTCTGCGGATGAAATTGTGAATGACCTGGAAGCTGCTGAAAGATACTTGGGGCAGGATAGTGAATAGAGAAGATCGATGGGAGCGAAGTAGGAAAAGCAGAGATTGGTAATGGGACGGGCAGAGAGAGTCAAATTCGTTAGTTCCTTGAAAACATATGTCTCAAGCCAGAATCACGTGCACCCGTGATAATTGAAGTCCAGGCGCATTTCAGTCGCAAATTGTGGTGCCAAGACACCTCACATTTCTGAGTCAACATCAAAATCATAAGCGCCTTGTATTATCTAGCTAAAAAAAGTCTGGGCGACGATCGACACGCTCATTGTATGTCCTGTAAATTTTTCCGTCCACCAAAGCGATATAAAACCATGGGGTCCAAATTTCCATGACCGACTGGAAGAAAACAAGAACGACATAAGTAGATGTTGTGCATATGTCGGCAACGCTCTACTGTCATATCATAAAACGTCTTGTCTCCAACTTTGAATATCACCCGTTCCTTAGTGTTTCCCTGACTTCGATTTAATATCCGAACAAACTTCTTTTGAAAGAAATTAGTCTGAGGTTTAGAAGACAAATAGGTGATAGTTCGTAGTTCGTGAAGAGTCTGAGCCATTTGACTAACTTTACACGCGCTTTCGGGTTTTTGTATACCGCATGGCATTGTGATGGGGTAATCGGGTGATGTTGGAAAATAAAACGCGAGGTGTTGTAAGCGGGCGAAGGCGGGGAAGGGGAAGTCCTTCCGAGGGGTAAAATACCCAAGACATGGAAAGAGAGATGGAGGAACCAAGAGGGTATCGCTGTTAAAGTCAAAATATCCAGCAAAGTATCCTCCATGGTCTAGCTGTGTATACTTTTCTAGACCAACTTGTCGAGATTCTTGACAGACTTGCAGGATCCGAGGAGGCTTTCTTTGAGATACTGTAATTTTGGGAATTCGAGAGCGGTCGTTCCTTGTATATTTGCAACGGAATTGAATACGCGAGTATTGACCGGCCTGATAGTGGTGAATGGGAGGATCTTTGACAACTAGCTCAGCTGTAGAAGGGTCGTCTACAAGGCCCCATATTTTCCATCGGATCTCAAGTGGCAGGGATGAAAACGGCATGATTGTTGACTGCCACCTTTTTACTACCGTTGGAGCCACGGGTTTTAAGGAGAAGGCTGAGCTGAAAGATAGAAGACCTTTGAAAGCCTTCGCCCCCTGAAACATGCCCTTTCGACGCCTAAAGGTCCCGGGGCTTCCCCGCCTAAGAGATGCCCCAGCGGCTACCCTACTATTGACAACGGCAGAAAACCGCAGGGCCTAGAAGCTGCCCTGTTAGCCAGCGTATTCTCCCTCTTATACAATGAGGAGCGCTACAGCGAAGAAAGCAATTAACATGTCTCAATTACAAAATAAAGTACTAGAAAAATTGGGATCCTTTAAACGCAGCAAGGATAATGAAAAATCGCTTGAATTGTACCGCTTGAGGCAAGAACAGAATTGGATGGAAATAAACGAAGATGAAGTGAAAAGAAAGAGCGAAGCTGTGTGTAGAGATTATATTCAGCGTGTATTTAAAATTACTACCTAAGAATCAAAACCTATATTCTTCTCATAATTGCCTTGATTTTTCTTTAGTGAGTAGGGCTTCAGCGTTGAGAATAGAAATCCTCTCCGCCAGCGCACCCTCCCCCTAACGAGCCTGCATGCAAGGGTCCGTTCCCACGGGGAGTGAAGGATAAGAACTGTACCTATGTACAACAGAGGTAAATCAAAGATAATAAAAAGTTGGTATCAATATGAACACTCTAATCTAGGATTAGAATATATTTTTTGCATATTTTTCTAGCGTCTGTAGATTGCTAGAATCCAGCGTGTACAAAGTACAAATCAAGAGTCTGTGGGAACGGACCCGTGCATGCAGGCTGGTAAAGGCCCCAGCCTGTTTCAGGGCTCCCACGCCTGGAAGCTGCCTATCCGCCAGCGCATCCTCCCCAAAGGCTACAGCCTCCCACGTCTAAAAGCTGCCTATCTGCCAGCGTACCTCCCCTAAAGGCAGCCCCTAAAAATAGAGTTGCCCTTCAGATGCCGATCTAAGGCTGATGTACGATTGGACTGAAGAGAATTGGGCATCCCGTCCGCTCTGCCATACACAAGCCTCAGATCGGCAGATTAGTAGTTGGGTGGGTGACCACCAGCGAATACCTGCTGTTGTATGTTATTTATTTTTATTTTTTATTTTTACCTATTAGGTAGGTTTGCGTTTTATAGATACTAGGTAGAGAATAGGTATAGAGATTTAATTAGAAGGGGCCTTTTGAAAATGTGGTTGAGTGTATTTTGTTTGGATGAAGGATTTTTTGGATGTTGGTTAACAATGGTTGTGGGGGGAGGGGAGAAATGGTGTTTTTTGATTGAATTCTTGGTTTGATTCTTGGGGAGGGGGGTTGATGGATTTAAGGAGGGTTTGTTAGAGATGATTTGTATAGAGATTTATATGTAACTAAATTCGTAGGTAGGTAGGTAGCTATATAAGTAGATTTTTCAAAATTAACCTCCTAGGTAGTGTCGAGATAGAATAATACTTACTCGTTATTTCTTGTTTAAAATATATATAGAGAAATTTACTAATATTACTACCTAAATACTTAGTATAATTGCTTTGTACTGTGAGTAGTAGATATAAGTTTTCTATAGAGGTTTTGCTTTTTGAAGTCTCTTATTGTCTTTCGTTCCTCGAGTATCTTAATACTTCTATATTATTCAAGCCAGGATATCCAACCCATCAAACTCACAACATAAATCCAAGAGCAAATGTCCCAAAAAAAGAGGAACAATTGCACTCAAAGAAGGGTCTAGGTATTTTCATAATCTATACTATTGGTATCATTAATCAACCACTCATTCATTCTAAACTCCATGATCCAATGCCGCTCGCTAAAAAAAAGAAGGAAGAATACAAAGATGAAGAGATCTATAAGAAAAGACGTCTCCTCAATAATGCACCCTAAGCAAACAAAACAAGAACAAGAACACTCAAAGTTCTGTATGTACCCAAAAGCGTAGTATGTTCAGCTGCCTTCTCCATTCTCCTTCATCCTTCATCTCAACTGGGATGAGAAGGGGAAAAAAAAGGGACACAAAGAGAAAATCTACAAATTAATAATATCAATCTCCGAGAAATCCGGAGGATTCCTGCCGTACACCACTCGAGCCTTCCCATCCAACGCCGCTCCCACATTACTGATCCAAATATTCCCACCGGCAAAGTCCCTCGTGCGCTTAATCTCATCGTCACTCACTCCCGTATCATCTCGTGGAATCCACACGATCGGCCGGCGTGCTCGGAGCGCATAATGCTGAAAGGCATGTCGGACGAGGATATCTCGTTCCTCTGGGGTCAAGTCTTCAATGTCGTCGTTGATGCCTCCATATAATGCGTCAGCAATCTTGGCTCGTGCCTCTGCATCCCTGTGTCTGCGTCTTCGCACTGGAGCCTGGCTCCCGTCGAGCTGGCCAAGGGTCTTGGTTTTGATTTCTCGACCAGACTTCATTGCCCAGTTACCGGCTCCCTGTACAATGTTTACAGGGTTCAATTTGGCCAATACGCTGCCGTGAGAGCGCTTATTAATTGTTGACAATTCGATACCCTCGTTCTCTTTTGGTCCTTGCTCTACATCCTCTTCTTCCTCAACAAGTCCAAGACGACGAGCTTGAGCACGTTGGAAAGCTTCATCGCGCAAAACAGCCTCATCCTCGAAAGTGATGGGCAGGTGTTGAAACAATGGCCCAAATGACTTGTTGAGGAGAAATTGGTAGATGACTGTAAGAAAGATGGCTACGATCATGATGATTGCTTGTTTAAAGCAAGAAGTCCTCCCCTTCTCATCACGAACCAAGAAGAACAAACCAACCATGCAGATCTCCATAACATATAGACCGGTGAACGTTTGATTAATAGCTCGTGGGTAGAGCAACCCACCAGTATCCAATTGAAATCGAACGACATAGAGCATGTTGTATCTGTGCGCAATCCATAGGAGACTAAAAGTGATGAGGGCGAATATGATAATGATTGGTGCAACAATGCTGTAGATGAGTGCAATGCATGCAAAGTTGGTATAAACTGGGAAAAGGGTTCCCCAGGTCACTTTTGGTAGAGTTGTATTTCGTATCCACTTTTGTCGAGCGGTACTGTCGAATAATTTGGGAAGTATGTACCAAAGCAAGAGTGTAAAAGCTTGCAATAATGTACCGGAAGCCGTAGACAAGGCTTGTAGAATCATGTAAGAGAAGAAGTAGTTTGCTGCCTTTGGGAGTTGAGTGGCCAAGGTTTCCGGAATCGACGTGATGTCCTTGGCGGATGCGGCAAGTATGTTTGTGATACCCCCGGAGATAGAGACAATGAGGAAAACTTGAACAAACAAAAAGGCAAAGTAATAATTCTGAACCGATCGTTGCTTTTCTTTGCCAGTTTGAGCACCTTGAAGTTGAGCCAAGTAGCCCAGGATTATTGGCACAATGACCAGCAAAAGCCCAAGTACAGCCGCAGGCAACACACCGGCAACAGCCTTCAAAACGTTATCTGGAATTTCGTTAAGCCAGGACAACCATACATATTCGTCTGCTAATGCAGCAAGTTGAGAAAGTGTTGCAGTCCAGGCAACCGGAATAGCCCAAAGTATGATCATGCCTGCTACGATAACAAAAACAGCGGCGGTCCGTAGCCAGGCTTCCCACCAACTTATAGACATATTGTCCCAAAGAACGTCATTTGGCGACACTTCCACAGTTCTGGGCGCCATTTGCTTGGGAATATGATGGGTAACTGCTTGGCTTGCCATATGGGCAGCTACCTGATGACTAAATTGTATAAAGGCGGAGTTCATTAGAGGGAACCTCTCTGGCTGCTTCTGGTCCATCTCGATTTCCAAGTTCAGCCGCGCCAACTCGCCACGACACCAGTAGATGGTATCGACTTTCTTGTTGATAAGGGGGAGTGCAGGGAACCATACAGGGGTCCATTTGAAGCGAGAAAGTCTATGGGTTGGCCGGTCCTTTTCCTTGAGGTATTTTTGCCAGACTGCGCCAACAGCATTCTCCGTGTAGTCCACGTTGTGCGCAACAGGATACTCAACAGCAGTGACCTTTTCACTTCTGAGAGGATCGAAAATGCTGAGGAATTTACCGAAAACCCCAGCCTTTGGTTCTTGATGAGAAGATTCGTGATCCTTGAGTCCGTCTGTCTGATTGAGTGGAAACTCTTCTCCTTCATAGCCGTTCGGTAGAGGTGATGCAAAGCCACCAGATGGGCATTGCCAAAACTTCCACCAATCATCACCTCTGACACCATCATTTGCTCCGTCCCCGCCATAATTGGTGGCTACATGTCGTGTAGTGTTCCCAGGAAGTCTCATCATCCCATGAGCGGCACCTCTACCATCCTGAGACGAATCAACAGATGCTCGATTGTCTTGTGGTTTCTCGTTCTCCGGAACTGATGCCTGATTGGCATGTGTCTCTACAGCTGGGCGATAACGGCCATACTGATCGTAGACGTCATCCTCTTGAATAGGAAATGAATCGATGTGTGTAAATCCATTCGTGGTTTCGATTCTCTCGTCGAGAATACGAGCCCCACCAACCACAGTATTTCCTGCGGCACCAATTCCCTTCCCTATTCCTTGTCCAAGGGCGCCAAGACCATGTCCAACAGCAGCCAGTCCATTGCCTATGATGGGGATAGGAACTTTCACTCTTCCAGATCTCTCCTCATTCGCAGTTCGTTGAAGCTCCTCATCTATAGCATCGTCGAATGTGTGAGGCACTTGGTCTGGGTGACCAGTGGTCGTTCCGCCATCGCTTTGGGCCAATCTTTCCGCAGCTTCGTTCTCCCATCTTAGTCTTCTATCTTTCTCCTCTTTGGTCGGATTCTTGCTCCTCTGATCACGCCTAGCCTTCTTCTCATCTCTTTCTAGTTGTTTCTTTTGGGCCAATTTAGCTTTTCGCACAAGCTCCGTCTCGGCGGTCTCCAGCAGATTAAAAACCTGCTCTCGTTCATGAATCTTATCTAGTAACTCATCAAAATTCCGGTTTATCCAGATATTTCGGATTCCGCCGGGGAAGACATCATAGAGACCAGCAAGGGCTTCTTTTGAAAGCCATTTCCGTGGAATAGAGCTTACAAGTACCGTTGTAGCAGAGGCTCTTAACCGATGTTCAGCAGACGTAAGATAATCCTGGCGGACTTTTATATAGACCCGCAATTCATTGAAGAACACGGCGCAGACCCAAACAATCACCACCAATGCTAGGATGCAGTGTGCCCAATACCTCCCAGTGTGCGTAGGTCTGACATTCCCCCAAGCAACCTGATCCAATCCTGTGACATTTGCGAATTTTGAGTCTGTCGAGTTGCCATTTTCCAAAGCATAACGCCCTCCTCTACCATCCATGTAGTTCAACGGAAGTAGGATGGGGAGCAGAATGACCGCCAAGGGTATGAAAATAAAGACGAGGGTTTGAAGATAACGGAGGAAAAAATAGGCATCCAGACCGCATTTGTTGATAATCTCTCGGTCTCGAAATCGGAAAATTGCAAACAGCCACCCCCAAGGCGTTCCAGGAGGGGCTTCGGTCCGTTCTCGTTCAGGCACTAAATAAGTTTTTGGTTTGCTACTTTACATTAGCCAAAGTCAAGGAAATCAAACGGTAGAAATGCAGTCATGACATAGGAAGACTCACAAAATACGCGCAAGCTTGTTTTTCAGAAGAATAAACAAGAACATCTGAACGCCGAAAATGACCAACGACGAGACCAAGGCCGTCACAAAGGTTAGGAGACTGATTCCTTGAGAGTTCTGAGCCGAGCCAGGAGCGCCCGACCGGACGGCAGTGGGCACAGCACTGGTCTCGGTAGGCGTTGCAGACATTGTCGTGCTGGTAGGTAGGGAGAAAGTTGAATTCGACATGATGGCGGTATTGTATGAAGATGTCCTCTAGAAGATGCGCCGGCCCAATCACTATGGTTTAGCTCCCGCCAGTTCCACTCCACTCCCCCCTCGTCGCTATGAATGGCACACCAGATTATCGTTATGATTGTCTATGGAGGATTAATATGTGCGCGGGAATTCGAGGAGGTTTAGGTGGGAATGGTCGTGGGGGGGGGTGATGATTACTCCAAACAGCGCAGAAGCTTGGAAGATGGGAATTGGAAATGGATACAATAAAAAGTATTAGTGGAAACGAAGTAGAATTGCTGAATGTACAAAATGTGGGTGAATCAGAAGGCAAAGTGAATGTTTGTTGATGTGCGAGTAATTGAGGGACGGTATCGGAGAATGAGTGATGGATATGATTCAATCATATCAAATGAATGATCTGTGAAGATCCTTCGGGACGTCCAGAGGAGAGGTGGATGGTCGATGTGGAAGTCGGACGGAGGAGGGGGCGGTTCAGGTGTTGACTCGCGCGTAGCGTATGGTAAAGTCCAGGTCCAGCCCGGGAAAACGAAGGGAAATGGTTCGTGGGTTGGTAGCCGACGACGTTGCTACGGAGCTACGCTACCTAGTTGAGAATATTTCTACAGGCATACTCCTCGTGGTCCAGTAACAGGTTTCGCTGGGGGAAAAGAGGACCTGTTTCTTGTTTTTATGTGCACCCCTCGCTTTCTCTTTCTATGGCTGAAAAATGCTGCGTGTTACACTGCAGTTGACCCTCCTGCAAGTGATGTCAATGGCGTTGTTGGCCGTTGATTGGCGCGCACATTTGATTCACTCTTACTTGGCCTAGAGCTTGTCATAGAGCTTGTCCAGTGAATGAGTCCTTGACTACTCTTTCATCACGTCGCCTATTTACTCAAGCACTTATTGAGTTACAAATATAGCCGCTGCCACGGATCCCCTTTTCTTTCTTCAACGGCCTCCATTGTTTGTTTCTATTCGTGGAACAAGCATACTTCTGGTCTTGCCGATTGGCTGATGCCACAATCATCCGTACATAGCCCGCGCCTAGCGTTACAGGTGCTGGCTGACAAAGACTGAGCGACCGCCACGACACGGCTCAAAGACTGGAAGCGCTCTTCTAGAAGGATTTATCGTCTCAACTCAAAGACCGTTATCGATTGTGGCTATTTTGCAGCTATTTTTATAATTATAGCGCGTCTATATAGCTTTGTATTTACTCGCAATACAAAAACCTAATGCGGCTTATAAAACTCATATCTGGCAATAGCTTCAACCAAATCCGAAGTTGTTTCCGAATATGGAAGGAAGAGTTTCAACCAAGACCGTTCGTCTAAAGACAAATTTCGGTTGGGAAAATCACCGGTGAATTAATTCTTGGACGATAGTACTCAAGTAAACATGGCCAACTTAAAAGTGATAGAAATCGTATCCATATGATAGGCGTTTTCTTCATGAGTAAGGTAGCAGAAGAAGAAACTGACTTGAGGCGCGGTGTTTCTGATTTCCATCCGAAGAGTCAGAATACCTAGGAAGATGCATTGAAATACCTAGGTGAATTATCTCAATCGCTTCTTCCAATAATGTGGTGTTCTTATCGCTCATTGAGCTTCATCCGAAGATAGTCCGATAAGCTTTCGCTGTGGACAGGGATGTAGTAGTAAATATTTATTAGTTCTCATGGTTCTAGCTTTGCAGAATACACCTGGGTATAGAGGGCATTTTGATAATTTGTCAGTTTGGGACAGTCAAAGTCATTTTTCAAAATCTGCGAGATAAGAATAAAACGTCTATCTTAATGAAATTGATTCATCTAGAAAGTCGGTACAGTACAGACCCAGGCCAGCGGTGAATAGCCGCTTAACTTTCCGCTCACAATCCGCACAATCCGCAGGGAGCAAGGATGAGCTTCCCCAGATTTCAAGCCGCCCCGAAACCGACTCCCGGCCGCAATCAAGACTCACGATACCAACACCACAACACCCGCTCACCACAAACCTCGCACCCAATCGCATCTCCACCCCCAAAGAATGCCCTTCAACTTCCTCTCCCTGCCCCGAGAACTGCGCGATCAAATCTACAGCTACGTCCACCTCCCACCGCCATCACCCTCCTACATAGAAATCCAGCACACGCCCCGTCACCACACACCCACCAAACCATCCAAATCCAAACACCACCACCACCCCAAACCCCTCACGCAGAAACCATACCAGCCTCCCGCCCCAACGAAGCAAAACTTCCGGCTGCTCGTAAACCCAAAATCAGCAGGGTACGACGAACCCCAACTGTTCACTACCCTCTCCCTGCTGCGTGTGAACCGTCAAATCCACGCGGAAACCAAACACTTGTTCTGGAACCATGCTATGTTCCATTTCCCCACTTTCTATGAATCGGTTAGGCAGGTCGAGCGCAATGTCCTTGCGGGGGGCAAGACTAGGAGATCTCCCACGACGACCCTCGGCGTCGTGAAGACGCTGAAGGGGATGGGACAGACTTCCTCGAGACTGATTTCTCATATCAATATCCAAATGAGCGGGTCCGAGACAGCGACGACGTATGCGCATCTCCCGAGAGTTCTGCAAGTGTTGCGCAGTCGGGCGAGACATGGGGCGTTGCGGAAATTGGAGATGTGTTGGGGAAGTGGTGCGTTTAGGGCGTTGGTGGAGAGTGTGGAGGGGGTGGAGATGGGAAGGGGGGGATTCGATGTTTTGCTCGAGGCGTTGAGGAGGGGGAGTGGGGATTGTGGGTATGAGAGGGTGGTGAGGATTGAGGGGCTACGGGAATTGGAGGGCTTGGGGGAGATGTCGGAGAGTGTTTGGACGACGGTTAGGGAGCTGCATTTTGCTTGTGGAGGGAGGTTGTATTGGGATGATGTTTTGCTGTGGGAGAATTATGAGAAGGTGGGTAGAGGAGTGTTGGATGGGAATCAGGTTGGATTGGTGTGTTGATGGTGTTGGATTACGAAGTTATGATTTATGACGAAAAATGCGCTTGTATCAGCAAGATAGCATGGGAAATCATCTTAGATGTGGCTGTACAGGAAAGGAGTAGGCTAGAATGGATTGCCCGAAGAATTAGAACCGAGAAGAGGGCAGCGGCTCCTCAAAGAATAAAGGAGTTATCCTCACATGCCTTCTCGACCATATCTCGGTGGTATCACTCGAAGCCGTATAATTAACGCCCAAGACAAGTGTTTGTGATGAAGAAGGGTTGTTCTTAGGAAACTATACGCCTTTCTTTCCTGTCTATGACATTTCGAGGCACAGTAAATACTAAGCATTCCGGTATTCTGTATAAATCCCAGCTGATCTAACACATTGGTTCGGCGTAGGTCTTGGGGTGCAAGATGTACTACGATCCCACCCAGCCAGCGATCAAGAATGTTCGCAAAAATCAGGCATCTTTCAACCTTCCAAACGCCGGCTCAATGCTCACAACGCCATTACTGTCAAGAATCTTTCCTCTGTCCCATTCCCTACCTTCTCCACGTTTCGCCCACTTGACATCCTCTTCCGTCTTCTCGCCTCCCTTCTCCCATTTTTTTATTTCTTCATCTGTAAACCCTGCTGCCTTCAATCGATCGGCGCCTTGCTTTTTCCATTTCTGTCTATCGCGAAGTGCTTCCAGTGCTTGATCCCAGTCGTTTTCCTCATCTGGGTCAAGTTGAACGTCAACAGTAGGGTCGTAGTCAGCTGAGAAGCGAGAATCGATGCCTGCACCATGGGAAAACTCTCCCCGGCCTCGCGAGCGTACCTGTGGGATTGGAGGAGGAGGAGGTCCAATGATTGAAGAGAGCGGATCGGAATCATAGTCTTCCTCATTCTGATGGCTTGATGGGTTTTCGATTTTAGAAGATACCTTTTGGGACGTCTTGGGGGAGGGAGAATGCCGAGATTTGCGATGAGATTCTCGACGTGCTTCTGGTGATCTTGAACGCCTCCGACGAGGAGATTTTGAATGGCGTGATTCTTTGTGTCCATATTTATGTGGTGAACGTGATCGTGAACGTGAGTGGTGTCGTCGCCTTCTTTTCTCGCCCCGGTTCCTTCCATCTTGCGAGGTACTCCGCTTGCTCCTATGCCTGCTGTAATCTCTTTCGTAGTCATCATCCTCCGAGTAGTCTTCACTAACCCTTCTTTTCCTTCTTGAATCATCTCTACCAGCATCTTTCAGTTCTCCTTCCAAGCTACCTTTACTAGGCCTCGGAACTCTTGTGGTTGATTTCGATTCGGGTCTATGGTCGTCGTCTTGGTGTATCCGCCTCTCCCTCGAGTCACTCCTGTGCCTGTGGTGTCGCCTTGGACTTCTTGACCGATCACTTAGGTCTCGATCCGCATTTCTGCTTCGTCTCTCCCTTGGTTTCTCTCGGTTGGCACTTGTTTCCCCACCTCCTTCAACAACTTTACTAGCTTTGAATCGTTTTTGTTCAGGTCGCCCATCCCTCAAGATTTCGTTTTCCTCGTTTTCCCTCTTCCTTTTGGCACCACCTCTGCCACCTAGAATCGCCGCAATATCCCCCAACTGCCTCTTCCTGATATCAAGTGGGGACCTAGGTTTCTTCAGGCTTTCCTTCCTGACGTCATGACCTTCATTCGCAAGGCCGCTCAACCGCGCCCTAGATTCTGCTGCTTCTTTGGCAAGGAGCGCTGCATTATGAGAATCGGTATCCTTTATTATGTTGCGGAGAAAGCGGGTGTTGGGTTTGGGCTTATGCGCCGGTCTGTGCTTGTTAGCAGGTTATCAAACTTACAGTAGATCATGATCGCTTACTTGGGAGTATTGCTCGAAAGACTGTTCAACCTGCTGGAATTTTTGGCGTCCTGCGCTAGAAGAGCAGCAACATAGCCATCGTCTAGGTAGTCGTCGTTGCCCATACTCTTGGTTCGTGGGGACCCTCCAAAGAAATCCAAGAAGTAGGATTGTACAAAATCGGAGTCGCTTTCTTAGAAAAAATGATTCAGTTGGGCCATACGAAACAAACGGATCATGGATGTTGTGGAAGCTGAAGCAAACAACTTCTTGAGACGCGGAAAGGTGAAGCTTACAGTTCCAGATACTTGTATGTACAAAGATGCAAGGGGTGGAGTCGCCGCGGCCTTCATTAGTGGGTCCTTAAAGCGGTGAATGTGGCAGAATATTTGATAAGTAAACAAAACACCGCGTTGGTACGTCACTTTGTCGCAAACACGATTGATGGAGGAATTTGGATATACACAGCACCAAATTCTACTACGAGGTACGATTGATAATTAATCGGAATAACGAGCAGGTCTTTCGTCACCCCGGGAATCGGATACCACCCCCGTACAATACTGAAGTACCCCTCACGACAAATTAAGGAACTCCCCTCTGGACTCTCGCAGTTTCTGCCAGTATGGCGAAATCTCCCGACCAAGTTCTGAAAGATGTTCTAGAAGCGCAGAAATCACAAGAGCTTTCGATCATCAAACTGAGCGAGCCACTGGCCGCACCGCTAAAGATACAATCTGGGGAACGTACATCAGATGTATCTGCTGATGTACTCAATAATCCGACGCCAGCAAGTCTGGAGGCTGATTTAGCACATTATAAGGTAAGTGGATATTGGATTATGGCTAGAGATCCGGATAATGCTAATCAATCTACAGGAACTGTTTTCCAAACTCCGCTTTTCGTATCTCGAACAAGTCACAAAAGAAAAGTTCATACGCGCCATTGTCGGCGATCCCCCTCTTGTAGTTGAGCACCAAGAGAATATTGAATTGGAAGAAGCTTTGGCTATTTCGAAAGCATCATTAAAAGCACAAAAGATTGAAGTTGCGGAATTGGTTGAACAACTGGAGGAGAAGGGTCGACAATTGTCTCGAAAATATGATAATGTTCAGTTACAAACCACACAACTGCAAGAATTGCCGGAGAAAATCGAAAGGTTGCAGTCCAGTATCGATGAATTGAAAGCTACACAGGCGCCGGGATCAAGTCCGACATTGAACATGCCGTTGGAAAAAACTTTGGATTTGGTTGAGGAGAGAGAGAAGGAGAGGTCTGAGCTGGATAGGCAGTTGGAACAACTGCAATCTATGGTCCCTAGGAAGACCCGAGAATTAGAACGATTGAATGCGGAATTACAGCCCCTTGAAGCCAAACGACTTGTAAGTACAGCTGCAGCTAGAGACGCCAAGAGAAGGAAGGAGGAAGCTTTGGGCGGAGTCGGTGATGATCTTGAAGAACGTGGTAGATGGTGGAGAGGTGTTGAGGGTGGACTGAAGGGAATGTTGGATGTGTAAGGATGACTCTTGGGCGTTGGGAACTGTTTTCGGAGATATACCAGGGAGCTACTAAGTCAAGGCGTTTGAGTTGCATTGAGAAAATGACAATAACGAATGTTCTGTGATTTTCTGGACTTTGGACGCCATAATTTCGATTTCTGACCTGCACACCTGGGCACTTTTCGAAGCACCAGGTGGTTAAGGTGTAGGAATTTATGGCTTCCCCCAACTTCTTCAAGGAGAACATGCTGCGAACTCAACCATTCGAGTCATTCAAAGTCATTGAACTGATTGGTCGAGCTTTTCTTGACAAGTAGAGCTATAGAGGTGGTCCTTCCGAGTTCTTACCCAGGTAATGGATTACGACTTCCTCGGTTTGCTGCGCTGATTGTCCTAAATTTATAAGACAAGTTTATGATATTTTCAATGTTTAGCAATATAAAAGATTTGCTTGAGGATTCTGGGACAGTCGAATCAATTATCACAAATTTCTCAGTTAATGAAACTATTGGGGCAGGGGATGATTGAACCGCGCTTTTGAAGTGTGATAGCGAAGAACGAAAATTAAAATCTCAGCGACAAACCTTTTGTTCCAAAGAATCGAATTGGTCTATAACTGGATCGTGCTTTCCAATCTTTTATAAAGTGAATTCTTCCAAAGAGCTTCTTTTATACATTTACAGGACAGGGATTCTCAGCGGGGTATCGGATCTGGTCACGTGTGTCGCACGCTAGCGACGGAACGGGTTAGATGAGGTCCGCACCCACACATCGCTTGAATATTCGAAATCACCTTGGAATCGCGAAAGAAAAGTCCAACGATAAAATTCGACAACACCACGTCTAACGAGTGTATGTACCCCAGATATATTTCTCCCAGTATCAACTCTGTGGCCCCGTTGCTAATAAACCTTTTTTTTCCAGTTCCTAATCCAAAATGAGTACGTCACGAAAATCAATGTTGCCCACGATACCACGATACCACAGGACTGACAATTTATACAGCTAAGGGAACTGCCAGTTTCGGAAAGCGCCACAACAAGACGCACACATTGTGCAGACGTTGCGGTCAGTAGAATCGATTCCCGGGCTTAGTTGGAAAGAAAATGGGGGGAAGTCTACGAATTGGGACTGACATGTACGATATTCAGGTCGCCGATCCCTCCACATCCAAAAGCACACTTGCTCCTCATGCGGATATCCAGCAGCTAAGATTCGACAATGTACGTGATACCGATCCTTCTGGTGGACATACGAGATCCAGGGAAATTGGAACGCGATGGACAGAGGATTTTGGCTAACTTGGAATTGCAGACAACTGGGGCGAGAAGGCCAAGAGAAGAAAGACCACGGGTACAGGTCGCATGCGCCACATGAATGGTGTTCCACGACGATTCAAGAACGGATTCCAGACTGGTGTACCAAAGGGAGCTAGAGGACCACCAAAGGCCACCGCTGAATAAAGGGATCATATGGGAGTTAAATGAATTGGGATTTGGTCGCGGTTTACCCATGATGTCTTGAGGGCTACGATTACGCTAGCAAATACCATCAATTGCACACCAAAAAAATGTATCGATGCAGAAGTGATGTGTGTGGGATTTGGGTTGCTTTCAATTTTGGTTGGGAATGTAGCTACCTGGAATTTCTCATGGAGTTCGGAAAGTGTCAATAAGCTCTCCTTACCGGTATTAAACGTCAAAAATACCTCTATTGTCCCCTTTCGAATACTTTGACTCCTCCATCTCCACCCACGAAATACAGCAACTCGCGTTCCTCAATCCGCTTTTGCAAATTATCATTTTCAAGCTCCTGTTCCCCAATACTAACTCGAACCACCCCACTAACATCACGAGCTGTTCCACTGTCTAGCAACCTCAAATTCATGGTAAAGTCAGCTTGATGAGCCGTGCTCAGCAAGAAGGCTGCGTGATCTGTCTCTAAACATGTTTGTTGCGTTAAGGTCAAAGGTTGGTCAGCTGAGAGCGTCACAACGAGGGCGTGGGCCTCCTAACTGAAGTTCAGTAGACATTATTGATTGAATGGCATTGTAACATACCTCTCGTAAACCCAGTAGCATATCTCCCAGATTCGTAGGCCCAATTTCGCCCACAGCTGCTAATAGTAGATCCGGTTGGTCAATAATCAACAAGATCTTTTCCCCTGAACCAGCGGCAGCTTTCAAGTTGTTGATGGAATTTTGTATCATGCTAGATACAGCTGAGAGACCAGGGTTTGTAAGAACTTGCTCTCCAGTCTTTACGGATGTCTTCTGCTGCGATGGTAGGAAAAGTCCACTCAAACCATCCACGAATGAAAATCTCTTTTTTGCAGCATGTTTCTCGAGATCGAGACCCTAGGGAATAAATAAATACTTAGCTTGACGTTTCTCTTTACAGCAATATGGGGATGACTCCGCCAAGATATCTTTGGAAAAGAAGAAAAAAGAGACTCGACCTACCAATCTTTTTGCATTCTCTTTCCAAAAGGCGAAATCTCTCATGAAGCTCACAAGAACTACCTTAGTCTGCTCGTCCGGTGGAAGATCAGACGAAGCATCGTTGTTGATCAGAGCGCTATGCAGAAATCTCAGGACGAGCCAATTTGTGCTTGCACCTAGAACGCTTGTCAGGAGGACTAGAGAGGCCTCTGGAGGAAGCGAGAGGTAGGGCTCAAGGAGATGGGGTATTCTGGAGGACATTTTGAGGTATTCGTATGTCTGGGGTGAAGGCCTTTGAGAGTTGAGTTGCTCAAAATTCAAGTCCTTTCTTTGCCTTGGGTGGCGAAAGCGGCACTGGAATTGAATGGTGCCACCTATCAAGGTATTTTTTCTCTGCCAAAAATCTCACTATCATTTATAAGAGGTCGACTCAAATGTAACTTCACTCAACATCTATCTCTATGCTAATTTGTCTTCTTTCTCGCCAACAAATAAGGCGGTGACTGGTGCCGCTTTGCAAGCTTGGTTACAAGGGTCTCACTCAGCCCACCACGTTCTCGTCTTGTATCATCTTACAGCAACTTGCACTTTCCAGTTTCACTAAAGCGCCAAAACTTGCATATGCTTTCTCAATTTCTTTCATTGTTTCTCAGCCGGTTGCATATTTCCTTTTGCAACTTTACAACACTTTTTTCTCCAACTGCTCACACTTCAATAAATGTACCAAGCGCGAGCATGATCCCAAGAAATCTCGGGTAATTCGGCATTGCTACGACTTCTGGTCTTGTCGCTCTTTCCTATGTGTTTGTGCATGAATGAATTTGAGCTTCGTCAACCTCAAGAATAAACTCGTCTTCGTTTGTCCTACTAGATTTTGACTTGTGGTGAATTCTTCACATCATGGAAACACACAAACAAGCTGTATCTCGTATCGCAGCAGATATCGAACAATTCTATGCCCGGAAAGAGCCATTCCGGATCTATCATGGCTCGACAAACAGCACACGCAAATCCCAATATGAAAATGATCGCATGATAAATACCTCAAAACTCTCACATGTGCTTCATGTCGATACCGGAACGAAAACCGCTCTGGTAGAACCAAATGTACCCATGGTAAGTCAATGTCCCAAGTTATATAGCACTTCACAAGGAAATCCGAGGAATCGACCCTTCTAAAGACAATGTCGCATCTTTTTGAATCTGGCAACTACTCAAAATCGTTCTTGAAAACGGCCCAGCTGATTAAGGTTTCTACAGGATGCCCTCGTGGCGGCTGCATTGCAGCATGGACTCGTACCTCCAGTCGTAATGGAATTTCCGGGTATCACTGTGGGCGGTGGATTTGCTGGAACAGCTGGAGAAAGCAGTTCATTTCGGTACGGATTTTTCGATCGAACGATCAACTGGATTGAAATGGTTCTTGCCAATGGAGAGGTTGTGAGAGCTTCAAAAACGGAAAATCCGGATCTGTTCTTTGGCGCTGCTTCTTCATTTGGTACTTTGGGTGTGACTACACTGCTTGAAGTTCAACTGATTGAAGCCAAGAGCCATGTCAGGTTGGCTTACTACCCTGTAAAAGGTTTACTGGAGGCACAGGAAGTGATTGAAAGAGTTACAAATGACACCTCTTTTGAATATCTTGATGGAATCATGTTCTCAAAAGACAATGGGGTTATATGTGCAGGGGAAATGACGAACGATGTGGGAAATCTGAAAGTCCAAGGATTTCTGAGACCTACTGAGCCATGGTTCTACCTTTACGTTCAAAAGCTCATGAAAAACAAACAGAGTCCGGTCACAGAAGCAGTCCCACTCGTTGATTACCTCTTCCGTTATGACCGTGGTGGCTTTTGGGTTGCGAGATACGCATTCAGATATTTTCTGACGCCTTTCAACCGTATTACTCGATTTGTGCTTGATTACTTCATGCACACACGAGTTTTGTATCACGCATTGCACCAAAGTGGCCTTGCTTCTTCTCATGTCGTCCAAGATGTGGCGATTCCGTATCCACGAGCAGACGAATTCATGTCATATCTCGACGCAAATTTTAAGCAATATCCAATCTGGCTTTGTCCGCTGAAGCAGAGCGGAAAAGAAATAGCCTCTACACATAGCCTTCAGGCTGGTAAAACGAACCAAAAGATGCCAGAGATGATGTTGAACTTCGTAAGTCACGTTTCGTACTTTAGGCCCCTCTCTGAGTATCACCCCTCGATGAGATGATATTCCCTTGACTACCCTCCTTACACTCGTATCACGACCCCCTAGGAAATGCAAAAAACTAACTCATTTAGGGGGTATGGGGACCTGGATCAACCGACCGCCGCGAGTTCTTTTATTGGAACCGCGAATTTGAGAAGAAAGTCCGGGAACTCGGCGGCCAGAAATGGCTTTACGCGCAAACCTACTACGCCGAAAAGGAGTTCTACGAAATCTACAACCGTAGGGAATACGATGCGTTGCGAAAGAAGTACCATGCGGAGTATTTGCCCAGTGTTTATGATAAAGTGAAGGTGGATGTGGAGAGTGAGGAGAAGGCGAAGAGGGAAAGTTGGAAGCTCTGGCTTCTGGCGCTTTTCTGGGGGATTTGGCCATTGGCTGGCTTGTATGGGGTATGGAAGGCGGTGCTTGGTGGGGATTATTTGTTGCCTAAGGGTGGGAGGAGGAAGAGGTAGGTGTTGGGGAAGGGCAGAGGGAGAGTTTGGAGTCGAGATTCGAACTTCCTCGTGTATTATTAGCTTGAGTTAGTTCTACGAGAATGTTGGTGGTACGTTGAATCCAAAGACTTTTAACTCTCTGCTACTAGTATATTCAATGTTGAAAATTTGGTTCTCATCGTTGGACTCGTTTAATGCTCGATTGGGGATTAAAAGAAAATAGACATGGAGGCTTGTATCAAGATTCCAGACTGTTGAAATATTTCAACTCATTGGCACCAACGTCGTTCGGCAAATGGAACTTGATTACATGGAATTTCAAAAACTTCACTTATCTGGAATCCTTCCACAGCCCTCCTTAATTAAAATGGAATATTCTATCGAATAGGCTCTGGAATTCTAGAGGATATAACCCACTCACTGGTAATCCAACCAATAAGAAATCAGGATTTGAGACAAAGTGAACTGTGAATGTTAACTGTTTACTATACTCGTGGAATGTACGTGCCCTAAGTATACTAAATAGCTCTCTTTTTTACTACTAGAAAGCTTACTAACTAGTTTGTTCCTTAGGAGTATTTGAAATACTATAATCTAAAGTCTTCTATTACTGTAGTCTATTACTCGGAAGAACTATTTACAATAGGGGGTATGGAATAGAAGACTTCTAGACTTATTCCAGGAGACATGTCCTAGCGTTGAGAAAATCCGAACGACTCAAGAGAAGCGCTCTTGCCATCAATCACTATTCAGACTTAAGAACTCACGCATAAAACTCAGTTTCATGATAGCTTTATATATCAACGCCAAAAACATCCTGAATGCCAATGCCCGTAAAACCGAGGACTCCCAAAAAGAATATATCCCTAGTTCAACCACTATCATCAAATGTGATGGATTATGACTCCTGTCGCATGATATTTTTCCTATCCTTATGGTTCACCAACACGTACTCGACACAGCGTGGATCTTGCTTGTTCGGATTCAGAGTAACGGCTAGGAGGTTGACCTCGAGCCACGTAGGACGCATTCCAAACTTCTCCAGTCTCTCCCACCATGTCAAGAGCCTGTTAAAATTGAGGTTGTCATCGTCAGTAAGATGGAGTTCGATCATGATCTGTCCGATGGGCATCTCGCCGGCATTTTCTCGATCACACCAGTCCATGAAGCTATCAAAAGAATTGTATTCCGCGCCTTCGATGTCTATTTTCAAGATATCCATGTACGTGTGGCTGTTGTTCTTCATCAGGGATTGCAGACTCATAAATGGAGGGGTCCTATCAAGCACATCCATCCGGTCCAATCCAACTTGTTTGAAATATGCTCGAGAACTGTCAGAGCCCGCGATTTGTGGCCCAAAGGAGGCAACCGTGTAATCGTAAGCAAAGATCTCAGCAGAAGGAACACGGGCCAGCATCTCCGCTTCGAAGCTAGAGTCACCGTTGACTCCAAAGCTATATATGACCGTACCGGGCTTGGTACGTTTTCCCGCTTTGGAAACTGGTGGAGCCGGTCTATTTTCGTATAAAGACATTCCGCAGACCCATTTTCCACCATCTCCCAAATGACCAACGCGTTGGATGTCATGGGGACAAGTATAGACCGGTGGGAAGAAATCCCAAATGGTGTAAGGATATTTACCGAAAGCTTCGAGAGTTTGGGCTGGGAAGAGAGGGATTCGAGGGTAACCGGGGTGTTTGTGGGCCATCTCGTGGCGTAGATTAACACTGGTTTCCCATGCTTTCTCTGCACGCATCATGCGTTCCTTGACGGTTGAGGGTCTTCCTGTCGAGTGGGGTAGAGGAGAATGTGATTGATGGAAGAGGACGAAGATGAAGAACGCGAAAGCGACCCAGACCCAGAGGCCGTATACTTGATTTCTATTGTTAGAATGTGCTTACCAACTGGTCTTTTGTGGAATTTCACTTACCTTGGATTATTCGGACCGCCATCTTTGTTGTATTTGACAGGGTGTAAATATCCTGCAGATTGGATTTGTTCAGGTCTCAGGAAACGGATCTCTGGGGTGTGATTCGGGTGCCCTTTTCAAGGACTCGAACAGGACAAGTCTTAATGGAGGCTATGCTATTATGATTTCCCATGAGAATGAAAAGCACGACTTCATTCCAACGTTAAGTACTCCGTGCGTTTTTGTGAGCCATATGCTATTATTAACGATGCAGCGATGCCTAGCAAACGTACGAGAGCAGAGCATTACTGGTAAAAGGAGAGAGAGCTCGATAGCGCCAGTCGGTCCGAGTGAAAAAGTGTTCAAAGTGCTGTAGAGTTGAGTTGAAATATGAAAAAGCGTTACCTGTTCAAGCACGAAAACAAAACGTCTTAGCGGCTCAATGCATTGCAGAACTAAGTAGATGACAAGTCTTCGGTGCGAATCTATAGTTCGGTGCGTTTCAAAATCTTAAAAGTCGAAATATTTTGCCACTGTCCGTTGACTTCGGATGATGGAACCATGAGATGATGTTGAACGTTGCAACGGCTCTACACTAGAACCAAAACATTCCTTTTTGCGGGCCGGTGGTTTTGGATATCTGGAGTAGTTGAGAAAAGCACAGAGGAGAGCAAGGGAATAACCTGGAAGCTTTGCACGACCACTAGCTTTTGATCCTTGCCTCAGCATGGTATGTTTCATCTTTCGCGAGATTATTTTTCCACCGGTATCCTAGCGACTTGGCGAATATAGATGAACTTGCTGTGATGTATGAGTAAAGAGCCCGAGGGCATTCCAGGGTAAACATTTTGTGGGCTTCACGTACTGATCATACAAGTGTGTTTTGAGGAGTGCTAGATTCCGAAAGATGCTACCCCTACCGTTATAAAAACCGTATTTCAGAAGTGTTTGCAATCTGAGTCATGTGACTACAAAGTTTCTCTACAATGTACTGTAGGTCAATAAGGTTGGAGAAGTTTCACCGATTAACGTTTGATAGATCAACTAGTATCTGTGCCAAATGAACAGTAGGTAGGTCCGGGTAATCTACCTCTGGTCACTGTATCAGTGTGGTGGAGATGGGAGATCGTCGTTGATGTGTCGCTTAGGTTTAATTTTCCTCCTGGAGTCAATTCCTGGGGGTGCGAGTAGATTTATACGTGAAACGAAGCTGATACAGCACTCCTTCGATATTAAGTATGTGTGATAGTTGCCAAGTGATTTACTAAAGCCGTTACGGTCTCGAGACAAGTATCATATCACGTGGTGGTATAAGTAGCCCAGCTTTTGATTCGGCCCTACTTACGACCTTTTGACCAAGATGAGCATTTACTTATTGTCTTCGGATTGTGGAAGTAAATAAGCTTTAGTAATTATATGAGAAAACCTTTCCCAAATATGGTTCGGGTGAGATTACGCGTAGCATTTCAAGCTCGATCAGCTTAGGGTAATTAAGTTTAAGACATCTCCTCTTCTGTCTTTTGACAATGCGAGCATTTCTTCCCATCGCCCTAGAACATAGTATTGCAGTCTTATCGGTTTCATATCAATAGTACAATATCTACTTAATAATACTTTGCCTCTTCGCTATGTCTTGTGAGCTACAGGATGGCAACGGAACTCTATTCTTACGACGTCTTATCTAGTAGAAAATACCACAGAAAGAAGTGTAAGAACACCAAACTGTCGGTACGTTTTTAAGCGAGAACAGGGATGGCGCAGTTGCAATCACATTCAGCTGCTTCTTTCAGGCGTAATATTTGTGATTGACTTCAAAGTGTAAGAGTAACCGCTTTTTCTTTCGAAAAATAATGTCACATTTTAGTTGTACTACTATCGATATTTATTCTGTATATAAGCAGGGTTTTCACTTGCCTAATTTAACCTCATCAGGTACTTTTCCCACGTATAAACTTGCGTTCTGAACGTAATACTTCAAATATGCGCCACGCTAAAGTTACAACTAGATTATTGAGATTCAAGAACCAACGAGCTATATTGAAACCGAATTGGACAGAAAAGATACTTGTGAATACTTGATATATGACCAACTACAATTTTTGTTTAAGATATCTGTCATATGAGTGTCCTCCAGAGGTTCTTGCTGAACCAAAAACCGTGAAATTCCTTGCATTATGTTAATTATATAGGAGCAAAACGAATCTAGAACTACTTCCACCATGGTTTCGTCGATACCTTCGGCTGTTCCGCATCCTCCAAACTCTGCTCATCACTCAGTTTGGGATTACGAATCAACAAGCTAAAAATAATCAATGGCACGCATAGACAGATCCCAGTAATAGTCAACAACTTTTGCGTGTATCGATAACTCACCACCATTCCGTCTCTCACTGGGTTACCGATCGTATAATTCGCCGCATACTCAAATGGGGACCCGTAGATCCCTTGAGCTATTGTCAAGTTGTTGTACGGAGGAGGCAAGTTTTTGAGCAAAGTCGGAATAAGTGTTTGCGTCCAGATGGCACCTGATATCGTGTTACCAAATGCATTTCCAATGTTAAATGTTGCAAGGTAGAGACCTGTGATGACGGCTACATGTTGGCGTTTGGTTGCCGCTTGTATGGATGCTTGAGCGGGATATGAGAATAGACCACCAGCGATTCCGAGGATTATTTGTGTGCCGATGACACCAGAGTGACTTGCTGGTCCTGAACCGCCTCGGTACTTGATGAGGACTCCGAAGGCTGCCAGAAAGAGGACGGAACCGAATAAGATAAAGGGCTTCAGATAACGAACTTTTAGTACAATGAAACCAAGAATAACACCAGCAATTACTGAGCAGAAGCTTTAAAGATTTAGCATGCAAATCATTTGAGAATGAGTGGATGCTTACCTGTAGAGTGACGAAATGCGTGTAGCACTTTTGACTGATTCGTCGAACGAGACTACGAGTACAGTATACAAGAAATTGCCTTGCAAATACCAGCAGAAGGTGAGCATACAAGCAATTCCAAGAGCTGACCATACCGCACGATCTTTCAGTAGCTATTGTAAGTTAGGATAGATGAAGACTTTCTTTTCACAAAGGATAACTTGCCTCAAAAGGTAACATTGGATATTGGGCTCGGGTTTCCCACCATATCCAGATTGGGATGCAAAATAGGCCAATGATCAAAGGTGCAATGACTTTTCCCTTGCTCCATTGCTCAGAAGCTCCACCAGCAATGGTGAATGGAACAAGGATTAAAGCAAACACAGCAATCAGCAAAATAATCCCAACCACGTCTAATTGCCAAAATATTGCGGCTGCTAGACGTCGCTTCCCCAACATTTGCAATGTACTTCTGTAGTTATCCAACGCCCCGGTAGCTTGAGCTCTGCGATATGGCAACCAGAGCGAAACAATCAATGGAATGGATACAACTGATGAAGTGTGAGTTACTTGAAACAAAAGAATTTTGAGAAATGACTATACTTACAAGCATATATGATTGCAAACATCCCAACACCCCACCTCCAGCTTGTCACACCTAGAACAGCTGCGCTAATATCACCACTAACCCAAGTATTGATCTGGAATCGTCAGCCTCATGAATTAGTCTCTAAGAGCAAGGAGAGCGTACCAAAAAAGGCAGAGCTGGCACAAATGAAAACACCAGGCGCGATTTCAGAGAAGTAATGTCGGCGATAACTACTTCAACAAGGACGAGAATCGATGTGTACCCAATCTAAAAGTCAGAACACTTTCAGTTTTTCGTGGAGTTTGATTTGCAAGTACACACCTGATATATTACCGCACCAGCAGCAAATCCCTGGACATTGTGACAACCGGCTTCAACGATAGTTCCTGTAAAGAGTTAGTATAATTCGTCATCTACAAGGAGTTACATACCGAGCACATAAAATGCAACGCTCACAACTATGAGCTCTGTTCTTCCGAAAACATCGGCAATCTTGGCAGCAGTGGGCTGCCCATGTCAACTTATGTTTAAACACTCTGGGTCATCAAGTTCCTACCTGAGCAGCTGCAGCAATGATGGCTCGAAGAACATTGATAGTTGCAAGAGTCGAGTGGGTGCCAAACCCAGAAGTTGCGTAAGGCTTTGAAAATCTTTAGCAATGCTTAGGGTAACGTGAAGCCACTGAAGGTTCTTACCTGGTATACGTATCGAAGAGTTCCATCAAGACCATATACATAGGCAAGGAAAAAGAGAGAGACAAATATTCTCACGCTTTCCCAAGTTGTAAGATGGTCTGCCAAAATTCTTGCTCGTACAACACCGGGACTCTCCTCCCCGACAATGTCTATTTCGTCGCGTATGGAACGCTCCTCAGCACTGACCCTAGTAAAATTGGTAGGATTCTTTTCAGACATGGCAGGGTTCGCTTCCCCTCCTGAGCTGATTTCGGTTGTTGAGTCTCTTCCCATGGCTTATTTGGTTCTTTGAATGAGGGCCCAGTAGAACCATATAAGATGGACGGTACTTGTAAGGACTCGGGAGTTTACACTTCCGACCAACTTCGCCCGAGGTATTTTGCCTTACGCTGTGTCGCATAAGCCCTCTCGGTGAAGGCTGTGCAAAATATTGATTTGGTGTTGCTGCACATTTTCGGGTGAGAGTCGCCTAATCTTTTTTGATTGGTGGGGGGGTTTCCTCAGCCCGCAGGTCTCACTGCATTTGTCTCCAAAGAAGGAATTATGAGGCGGAGGTACCTCAACTGTTTAAGCTCACCGAGATGCTGGAGGTTTAAAACCGTGGGCAGGCGCCTAGGATGAGTTCTACTTTATCCCAGGATTCTTGTCGATCTGGACAAACAAATTGAGCCAGCAAGATGATTGAAGAGACAATTGATGCCCGCTACACGCTTGTGCAAAATGTACTGGATCAACAGCTTGAATCGTGGTTTGGCAAAGGAAACTTTAAGATCATCGTAAGAACCAAACACCCCCTTCATTATACTCATTTAATGTTAAGCCTCATTTAATGTTAAGCGACACCGCAGGAGCCTCCAGACGACTACGCGAAGTGGAAAGTTGAAATCCCTAGAAAATTGGAATATGTCAGTGATAAATTTGCTCGACTGGGCAACTTTAGCTGACGAGTAAATGGGGATAGGACCAAAAGTTAGAGCTTCATCGCCGCTTCACTGAGCATCACAAAGAAAGAAGGCGAGCGATTGCCCAAGCTGCCAAGAAAGGAAAAGAGAAGGAGACTTAGCAGAATTATAAAATTCCGTGTAAAACAAATAAATCAAACCTTTACCTGGGAATCTAGCACCACGCGGTTACAAAGAGAATATTTCACCTCTGGTCTCTTAATTTTTCGAGCAAGGTTGAAGGCAGTGGAAGGCTGAGCAATGATGATCAGATACTGTACTACAGCAGTAAAATTTTGTAGAGACGCTAGCATGAGAATCACTGTAATATCAGGTTGAAGCGTTTTTGTATGTGTTTCAGCTGGTGGCGGATACACAAGGCACACCTCGAAACGCCCAATGTGGCTGTAAATCAGGGAAGCAAGCCCACTATGTAAGAAATCTGAGACGATTTTCTCAATTTTCAAACTTCTTAACAATTCGAATTTTTCGTGTCAATCGAAGTATTTCAATAGCATTATGGTAGACAAAACGGCCGATCTGTTCAGTGAGTGGGAAACATACCCTCACAATCTCTCATTTTCTGCCTTGGACATCGATGCAAATCGGTGCCATACGAAGTTGGGCAGAGAATCTGAGAAACTATATCTATTCGACGGAGAAGAAAGCGAATCACAGGTTCTGCAAGTGGATCCGAAAGCAGGTATGTGATATCTCTCACCTAAATTGTTATCGTTATATCGTTTGACTGGTTTGTGAAGCCATTCCAAAGCGATCTATACTCAGTTCATCTGAGCAACTATTATCATATCTAGGAAAACCAACAACTACTCGGCTATTGTATGTTTTCTTTCTTTCAAGGCTCCAAGTTCAATTACTCACTTCAATTTAAGTCGCATAGCACAGGAGCATTCTTGGAGCCAGCTTCTGGTCACGGAGGAGCTTTTTCGCAAGCTCAAGACAGCACTTAAGGTACACCCTGAGTTTCTGGACGTGGTACATGTGTTTGGCGAAAAGATAACAGCGTCGGAAGAAAGTTTCACGGCGTTCTTCAGTCATTTATCCCCAGAACCTTCGAGCTTACCAGGCTGTGATTATGGTGTGTATTTCCCCCAGTCACAGGAATAGAGACTTGCTAAGGTTCTGCACAGAAATTGCCTACAACGTAAAGTATGTGGCAAGATACGTGAGAAATTCTCTCAAGGACCCATTTTCTATACGAGAAACTGGAGTCTACCATAATTACCAGATGGAGCCAGCCAAAAGCACTTGGATACTCCTCAACGCACCAGATACACTTGGGGAGAGCCTTTCAGACGCCTTTGCGGATTCTAAAACCTCAGAGCTTCTCGGGCAACTTCGTTGTCACGCGCTCATCTTGCTTTGTCTTTCCGAGAATTTGGCGTGATTATGTGAATTATCTAGAAGCGAACTTTTCAGACCGGGTAGAAAATCTGAAAAGGCTCTCATACTATAATAACGCTAACCTATGAAGATGGACCGCGGGTTCTCATCAAGCCTTTAACACCCAGTCCGAGAAGGGGCCATTACTGTGGACTTTGCCGACATACGCAGTCTTCAGATCATGACGGATAAGTTAAAACGCCTTATACACACACTCAAGCTAAAGAGAAAGCTATGTGCCCATCTCAAGACGTTCTCCAATCACGTAAAACGCCTTCAGCCTCCCCAGGTGGCAAGATCATTTTGCCAGAACGAGGCTATTACGGATAATTATGTTTTCCAAAATGAGACACAGATCTCGCAGTTAGAGTCTCTTGTAGACAGAGCTCAGGGAGTCGGATTCTTAGTAAGTCTTATTCATTGTTCTGATCTGTTGCAGCAAGTCTTCTAGAACTGAAGAGAGACAGAGAGGTTTCGCAAAGGGCTTGTTCATTGAGATCGTGACGAGCTGACCAATACTACCTTCATAGATTGAGCATATCCTGGATCTTCGAAATGCTGAAACGAACCACAATATGAATCTGGCCATGCATGACAGATCTAAGCAAGGAGTAGAGGAAAACAGTCTTGTCAGAGAACTAGCCTCACAAACTACTCAAGATACCAAAGCAATGCGAACCATTGCATTTATTTCTGTCATATTTCTTCCCGCAACATTTCTAGCAGTAAGTCGACGATCCAAGCAAGAAGATTTGCTCAAAATTCACGTCAAGAGAACTCATATATCATGGTAGACTTTCTTCGGATCGAAATTTTTCGGATTCGAAGACACCAAAGATGGACACAGTCTGACTGTAGCGTCAAACATTTGGATCTATGTTGTAACAGCTTTGGCATTTTCGGTAGTCGCTGTAGCAATTTGGTATTGGTGGGGTTTAAGAAGAGGGTCTGAGCCTGATAAAGTGAAGAACGCCGATATGCCTTAGCATGTTTCAAGAGAAGATAGCATATGCTCAATGATTTGCTGGTAGCGTATTAATCCTCCTGCTATCTCTCCGATATTCAACGGACTCTTTCTTAGTCTCTTGAGAGTAAATTGTGTCTGGGGAGCGTGCTGTACCTTGTGATCCCCCTGTATCTCTCCGAGACAGAATCGAGCTTTTTGGAGACTCAGGTTTCCTTGATGATTCCACCGGGAACATCTCTCTTCTGATATCTTCAAGATTTCGCCAAAAGTTCTTGGTGTCTATTTTCAGATTGTCAGCCCAGGAAGCACAATTTGCGAAGATGTGACTAAAAATACCATTTTCGTCTGGAAAGTAAAGGCGAACTTCGTCATGGCTATCATATTTTTGGGGCTCTATAAAAAATTGAATCCCCTCAGAGATCTCAATACAGCGAGTTTCTGGGAAACCACCTAGTCGGGCAACCGCCGGAGATAGAGGGGCAGCGGTCTTTGTCAGACCCCTTCCCACATACTGAATATATTGACTGGTGACTGGATCATGTCAATATAGAGCAGCTGGTAACTTATTATATGAGACTCACCCTTGACGATATAAAGTTTCTCTTTGGAAAGTATTGCGAGCTTTACGATAGGAATGCAGAAAGATTTTGGATCGATATTTGGATATGAGCTGGTCCCCCTGTAATGATCTGCTTCGTATCTTTGGACTTCATGCCCCGAGAAAGGAACGGTATGGAGGTTGAAGAAGTCGATTTGCGATACTTCCTCAGGGAGAAATCAGTAAGCTGAAAGCTCATACTAGAAAGGTGGTCAGGCGGATCGAATTAGTGGACTATTATGAGCTTGTAACCCACTACTTGTAGACAGTTTCGCCAGTCATGATACCTTGAAAGCGTAAAGTGTCTATATCTAGTTAGAGGAAAATGATGAATAGCAAGGATGAGTAAAAAGGTACTGACCGGATAGGCGACGAAAAGCGTAGATCAAAGGCTCTTTTTGGTTCATTAAGCACACTGAGTTGCCATATGGATTCTCAATATAAGCTGGCTTGATTCCTGTGTAAGGTTTCTTTTGCTTGCGGTCAACTGTTTTTATCGTGAGCACAAATCAATCAAATCCTAGGCTAGGAACATACCATATCTTTCCGAGTCTTTCACAAGATGTGGACCGCTTTTGTCGAGAGAATATTGAAAACGCAACATCTTGATCTCGTCCGTGCTAGGATAAAGCCAAAGCCCACATCTTTTGGTTCCTTCAAAACTAGCAATGCTGTCAAGTCGAATCAGTTCTCGTCTTTGCAGAATAAGGTTATATAGAGATTGCATGGCTTACAATCTGTTTCCCAGTTCTGCCAATCCAGGAGGGTTATCCACCAATGACTCTAGCCAATCGTTGACTAAATGATGCTCGTTCCTATCATTTTTGTTCTGCGAAGTATCCATGTCGGCTCGTTTTGAATGTTCGCTCAGCATGTCGACTACTTCCGCAGCCGTTGGCCTGACTACTTTGGATGGGTGAAGTAAGGTACTTATCATGTGGAAAAAGCGTTCGTGGTAGAAGAATTCCCGCCACGGATGCAAAAGCCTCTGTGGATCTCTACTCTCATCCTGTATTGTTTTAACCAGACTTGAATGCTCCTCGTGGACGGATAATTTCACCCCATACCCCTCCTGGTAGTAAAACCTTCGCGAGGGGGTGTGTTTCTCTCCCGCATCATCCAACCTGCTTTGTCTGTATCCTGCCAGTCTGGAATGGTTCCCGATATCGAAAGATGCGATCTCCGACATTATGGCCCCCAAAGAGTACACATCATACTTCTCGCAGGCTTTATCGCTTGGTGGTGGAGAATAATGGTTAATCCCTTCAGGTATAAGGCTTCCGGTTGGGCTCTCATCCGTTGGTAATAGCCATGGTTTATTGTAACTTGCAAAACCAAAATCTGCGATCTTCATGACTCCCTTGAGAATCAAAATATTTGCCGGTTTGAGGTCGCGATGAATGACACCCTTGGAATGCAGATGAGCGAGGCCACTTGATAGGCCCGCAACTTGTTTCCACAGTTCTTGTGGTCTGAAAACTGGTCCGTCACCGATCAAAAACTTGTAGAGTGTGCTCGGGGCAAACTCAAAGAGGATAAAAAAAAAATCCCTGCCATGCTCGAAAGCTGCTAGAGCTTCCATTAAATTGGGATGTTGGTAAGTGTTTGATTCCAATTGTTGAATGACAAACTCTTTGGCATCTTTCTTGCTTTCGGTCGGAAGCCGTTTATATATTTTTCTAGCAAATTTGTTCGTCTATTTGAAACAAGTAGTCAGCTTAACGGATGTCAAATATTATTGCATAAGAGCTGACCTCTAGTTTTCTCGGATTCTCGCCAATGTACTCTGTAGGGATGTAGAAGGGGTAGACTTCGCCAAAGTTGCCCTCACCGGCCGCATCCTGGTCCTCATAGATTGGAAGAGTTTCTTTTTCATCGAGATCAAAAACTTCGTTTATTTTGGCGAACTTTGACACTCGGAACTGGTATTGAATGCTCAAGATCTCATTTCGGATGTTGCTTGCTTGGATTGCAGTTAATACATCAGATTCATTCAGAAAGAGTAGCTGCTCTTTTGACAAATAGCCCCCCTCGAGAGAATAGCCACGTCGACGGAAAGCGGATATTAGACCAGGACATCGAAGAACTATAAGCAGTGCATAAGTGGTCGCAAGGTTTCCCAGAAGGTCGTTATCGTCCCAGCGACTCGAGCGATTGTCTATGCCGCCTTGACGTCCCCCCTGTTTCTGACACCTTAAACATTTACAGATAAAGACACTCTCTCCTCGGGATATCTCTCTTCCTTTCATATCCACATGTGACTTCTCACTGAGTGCACGAATTATATCATTGTATGGGTAATATGGGATTGGCCCTCGAGGAAAATGGTGCGACCGTGGTAACTTCTGCTGTGTGATGAGGAGATCACGAACTTGCTCACAGACTGGATAAGCAAGATCGTCCGGCCCAGGGTCTGGGCATGTCATCCTGATGATCCAGAGGTTCTGCAAAATAACAAGTTAAACGTGAATGAAACGTGAATGAAAAGGCTGCTTCTGAAGTTATGGAATCATCAAAAGCTCAGCCTCAGCCTGGGTGAGACTTGTATCACCAGCTACTATTTATCCGCCAATGAGAAGAATGCGGCTGTGAAAATGAGAAGATGCTGTCCGATTGTAGTCCGAGGCTTGGGCGAATCGCTCACCGAATTCTGGAAAATGAGTCCATCTGTAAAACGTTGCGAACAAGAATATTTGGCAAGTGAAGATTAAACTAGTTAGGATCACACTCTGACCTTGTATCTCATTTTCGCAATCCAATAAGCTTCAAGGGTTCATTGCGAGAATTTTGCGGTAACCAATACCTAAGCTCGAGCTGAGAGGCTGTCTCGCTCACTTATATGCACCGTACAAAAGTACAGATATTCGGGAGTGTTTGGATGGCTGCAGCTGCAAAGGCTTTTATTATACTAATTTAGCTGTAAATCTACTGCGAAGCTAACAACATGTTCTTTTAGATTTGCATCACTAAAACAACAATATAATAGAGTCGAGACCTTGAGCCCCTAACTCTTTATGTTGGCTTGCAAACCTCAGCTACAGGTGTTGGTCGCTAAAATCTAGCGTGACGACACTAAATTCAGGGGTTGGTCGCTAAATTTCAGTTCATCCCATCCCAAGGCAACAAGGACTCATCAATCTAGGAATGATTCAAGTAACCCTTTATATAAGCTAGCGTCTACTTATCTCCGCATGATTGATGTTGGATTGTTGCTAGCACTCGGCTAGTTTCGTTTGGCTCGGACATGCTCTTGGAGCTCAGTGGAGATGCAGTAAATATAACAACACCCTACGTTTCTGGTACTGTACCAAGTTCATCGAAAATGTATCTCCACCGGATATGGTACTATACGGTACATCTCGTACTTACAAATCCCTTCCTTAGGGGTTCAAGTAGAGCAACTTTAGCGATATCCTCTTCCTCTGCTGCTTGAGCCTTTCCGCATTTACCGTATCGGACCTCGACACGTCTAGTAATGTTACAGGCGGAAACATACAGCTATGAATCGTCAATTCCAGCACTTACTTGGCATTTTCCCTACTCGTGAACTCACTTAGCCATATTTCTACACCCCCAACTGACTTCTCAAGCAGATCCAATCATCTTCGAGACATCGCTGTCAAACCATTTGATTCTCTCACTCGGAATCAAGTCATACTGTAGATTCAGAGTCGGAACCAGAATCCCCCTCTTTGTAAATCTTATTTCGCTCGACCCCCAAGCGAAATTTTCCGTCTCAGACTCACAAGTTCGCAACCATAGCTTTCCCAGTTACCTTCTCGAAACTTTCGAAAGTCTTTCCTGAATCTAAAGGACTTTACACCCTCAAGCCAGCGTTCAGAAAAGTAAAGAAAGGGGGTATCTACCATACGAAAGTAAAGTTACAAGTTCCACATACCCACAATGGTGTGAGTTCAGGAAGGACACCAAATCCTGGCCATCTTGACAAGTCCTCTGTCAAAAGAGGACACATGCCCTCTTCGAGTCTAAAAGCCAAAAGCTCGCCAGCCATTAGTTCCTTGTTACTTGTACTCATACTCATCATAAAAAGCAAGAGACAAAGGGGTTTCTTTAACAGTACTGTACAGTACAGTACATTCCAATATTTATCTAACTCAGCCATTTGAATTTTCACTCCCAAAATCTCCTTCCCTTGTCTTCTCCTCACGCTCCTAAAAATCAACAGCCACATAATCACCAAGGAGTCGTCCAGGACGAGTAAAGTCCTCTATACCCTCCCACTCGCTCACATACCTAACCCCATAATCATTAACAATATACCCCACAATTCTCGTATACTTCATGACTACTTAGCTAGCTACAGTTTCTGCATTCTATAATCTACCTAAGCACCAACATCCCTTCCATCAAAATAATCAGAGTGTTTCTTTCTCTCTTTCTCTTCTTCATAAACTATCAATTCCACACAAAGATGACGTTCCACCTAATTAATCTCACCACATATATTCTCCATTCGCAATTCTCAATTCCTTCTAATTCATCAAGCTAAATCAAGAAATATAAAGGATTCCTTGTCTGGGGTGTTTCTTCCAAAGTCCTCGAGTTCCGCGCTAGATTATTCTAGCGGATTTGGTGATGTTGTGGAGCTGGCAGCTACTGTATCGATATCGGGAGTTTGGGGGGTTAGTACAGTATGGAGCATGCAAGGAGATTTTGCGGAGAAGAGGTTGGAGGGAAGAGACTTTTGTGGGAAGCTTTAATTTGTAGTCTGTGTATGTAAGATTACGGCCCAATCTTTATGATTGAATTTACTTGTAGCGGCCGGGATATTGCTGTTGATAGCTATACCCGCGAAGAGTTGGGTTTTTGAGAATGCACAGTATGCAGGAACTCGAGGGTATATTTTAGAACTCATTCAACACTTTACAACAATAGTCACCCCTGCACAATGTAATTGTCCAAAATTTCCTTTACGAAGACTATTCTTTAGCAGCCATTGTATTTTATTCATTTACTCACGCATTCCATCTTAGAATTGCTTGCTGAAAAGAGAAAAACACCATCTCGACACCCCTAAATCCACACGCAATCTATCGCGCTAGCAAATCATCCCATTCCATCCCATCTGTCCATCCATATACACAAGTCCCCTCCCCCACTCCTTTCACAATCCAAGTCTTCGACACAGCATCAATCAAGGATGATAGAACACCTCCTCAACGCCTTTCCACCAAGCTGGTTCCCCATCATAACTAGACTTCGCTCCAGGCACGAACGATTCTTGGTATGAATCCGTCATCTTCCACCACTCTTGCACCTTGGGGTTGTCCTTCATCTTCTCCATGTCGCCGGCGTAGTCGTAGCCTACGTACTTGAAGGATGCGAAGAGGATTCCGGTTCCCGGGTCGTGGAAGATGGAATCTGGTTTGTTCTTATGTTAGCATTTATTCCGATACACCGATATAAATATGAATATGAACAGGAAGGGCAGCCAGTCCAGTTTCGAAATAAATCAAGCTAACCAACCCACTTCTCCACTTGCCCACCTCCTCCCCCCTCCAAACAGCCTAGAACCAAAAAGAACCAAAAAAAGACAGAAGTAAAAGAAAGAAAAACATACAATCCTCAATATTACAATCCTTAATCTGCTTCAACACCTCCGGCCACACCTTCGCATGACACTTCTTATATTCCTCCACATATTCCGGCTTAAGCTTCACAATCTGCGCGATTCTCCGTCCCTGGTTCTTGAGGCGTGCTGCAGGGACGGTGGGTGTCTGGTTGCGGCCGGTTGGAGCGTCCTTGGGGGAGCTGAGTGACCAGAGGGGGGAGGTTGGAGGGGAGGCTGATGTTCTCCACATTTTGGGGGATTGGTGAGGGGTGGTTTGGTTTGGATGGAGGGAGTTGGGTTGGACTTGGTGATGGAAAAAGTGATTTGAGGTTCGAGAGATGTTGAGGGATGTTGAGGAAAGCTTGCTTATGGAATATGTAGGTAAGGTAAAGTAAGGTAAGGTGCCCAGATGGGAGGAGGTCCAGGTAGGGTGAGGTAGGGGTAGGTGCGAATAGGAACTCCGTAGTTTGCGTTGCTCCTTCGGATTCGGATGACGCGGGGTAGCCCTTCCAATGAGCTGCAAGTATCCAGCTAGCTTTCAGTTTTAGTTTCAGCTTTTTCCTTCTCAAATACCTTTTCAATTCCTACCTTAAATATCAAATCAAATCAACTTATTCAAGGAGTAGGCAGATATATATGAATCTCCGAGATGAGATTTACCTTGGAATCTGGATTCCACGAATTGCTCCTGCTCCACAAACCGCGGGGTTAACGGATCTAGATGTAGCTCTCTGTACACTTGCTGAGTGAGCAATGCCAACGCCAACGCCCTGGAAGCTCAATCAAGCTTGGTGGGGGGAGCTGCGATGCCGGATCACCGCCGTGTCGTCGGGCGAATGGGATCCGTTATTGGGATCCACCTTTTTCCAATGCGGCGTTTTTTTCCTTGTGAATATCTGGGTACGTCACTACGGGGTTCTTTCGCTTGTTGTCTACATACTGGTGCGTAGCTCGCGTAGGTATCTTTTATCCAAAATAAAAGAATTGAGAAGTTAATAGGAAAGGAGTTCTTTCGGGATATATTGTTTTCCAACCTTTCAACAATAACACTACCTACGATTTCAGAACTGGAACTGGGACGAGAGCTCGAGGTGCCGAGATGGTTTGCCAAGTTACCTCTTTGAGTTTCGCTATATTCCGTACGGTAAAGCTATAGGTATGTTTATTGCCGGTAACGGCGGTACCTGATTACATATAAGTCGACCCTCTCCTCCCTTTCTTTCTAATCTTATTTGTATAGCACCTTAGCCAGCATTTCAAATTAACCCGTTTCCTTCCACCGTAGTAAACCGTCCTTAATCTATAATAGGGTATAAAGGTAGGTAGAGTACGAAATAGTATAAACTAGAGACTACTACTTACTAGAAGTCCCTCTTCTTAGACGTAGAAAATCATAAGAAGCGGTTCCCGTCAGAAGACGAGGGCACAATGTGGAATGGATAAGCTGGAATACAGAGAGAAGCTAGCTAAGGGCGAGCGGTACGACTCCAATATACGACCTGTCTGTCGGCATAGAAGTGTCCGGAATAGGACTAGCGCCTTCCATGGAATATGCTAGTGCCAGACAGTGGAGCCGAGAGCTCGTATCGTAACAGTTACTTAGAGGTCTCTACGAGTACTATTCCTATATTTATTTTCTTTATAGAAGGACGACTTATAGTACTACGGCACGAAGAGTTCTAACCCGCCTTTTTTAATCTTATAACGAGCTCGAATGTTTTTACTTATATATCTAACCTAACCCTACTTCTACTCTACTTTAATTTCGTATACTTTTAAACACCTATGTATACTTACCTACCTATCTATACTTACCTACCTACTTATTTACCTATACCTCTATACCTCTTATTACAAAAGACCTATTATGAAAAACCCTATTAAACAAACCCTCCTAAAATATAAACATAACACAACCTAGACATCTAGACATCGAGACATCGAGACATTAACCTCCAGACTTCTAGTAAAAGATCCTTTAAAATATAACCCTCTACTTAAATTCCCTCCTTCCCCTCCCCTACCTCCTAAAAAGAAAGAAGAAACCTCCCCCCTCCCCGGTCTGAATTCTGAAATCTAGAATCTGAATTCTATAGGTAATAAGGTACAGGTGGTGTATAAAGCTTCCACGTGCGTAAGTAAAGATATATATATATATGAAATGGAATAGACTAGAAGGTAAAAACCTAGAGCGTAAAATACCCATTCTCCAGAATTAAACCACGTAGACTTTCCATTCTTCCCGCATATATCATTACAAAAGTCCCAACTTCTAACCACAAAGCCCATTTCACCCCTCCTTCCTCCTCCCTCCTCCCTCCTCCCTCCTCACCCAGTACTTAGGTACTCATAGTACCTAGACTTTCAACCCTACCTAGAAACTTCAAGCTTCCCAAGGGACAACCTCATAACTACAAACACACGTCTTCAACCCGTTTCACCTAGAATAAACTAGCTTGGCTGTGATTAAAGTAGTAAATAGTCCAATTTCGATATCTCTTCATCTCTACCTACGTACAGTAAACAAGAAAGCTACTGCCGGGTATACTATAGCTAGGTAGTAATAAAAGAATTCTTTCTTTCAATCCATCCTTTGATTCGGATTCTGATTCGGATTCTGATTCGGATTCTGAATCTGATTTTCCCAAGATCGTCTTATGTAGCTAGGTAAGACCCAGTCTAAGCGAGAAAGAAAGAAAAAGAGACTTTGGGAAAAGTACTCTTACCTACCTATCTAGGTAAGATCACAGAATCCTCCTCCTCCTCCTCCTCCTCCTCCTTACAATAGCATCCCAAATCCTACATACCTGGGGATTAAAATAAACCAAATGATATAAAAGGATACTAGGTACAAGTAATCTTATAGTACAGTAGGTAATTGGAAATGATCAGATAAGTTAGAAAGGTAAAAAACTAAAGTATAATATAGTATAGGTCGAGGCTTGATATTCGATGCTTATTCAAGCTGGCCCTTGCTAGGGAGGAATTGAGATGGAAAGGAATATTATGTATGTATGCGTGGTATGGAAATAGAGAGATGTGAGATAGGTGAGGTGGGGTAGACTGAAGGATGGGGTTTGCATACCCACAATACTGTGAGACTGGAAGTGAATCTGAGTGTGATATGGGAAGAGAGGGGTGAGAGATAGGTGAAGTGGGTTGAAGGAAGTGCTTTGGATACCCTACAATACTGTGAGAATGAAGCTGGTATCGAGTCCGATATGGTAAGGAAAAAAAAGTGAGATACTGTAAGATGAGGTGAGTTTAAGGAAAGTCAGCACTTTATATACTCTACAACATCCGATTATACTAAGTATACATCTCCATATGGAAGTTTTATTACTACATCATCCTCTACTTCGAAGACCCAAATAACCCTCCAAACAATCCCGCCCCACTAGCAGGAACGCCATTCCCCCCTGATCCACCACCTCTCCTCCTCGCTTCATTCCTGATCCATTCCTTCATAAATGCAGTATCTCGTAGTTTCCTCGGATCAACAAGTTTCGTGTCGGTTTGTGCCTCTCCCCGGTCGAAGCTGAGGAGTGTGGGCATCGAGGTGATCATGTATGTCATGCCAAAACCACTCGACATGATATCTGGAGCATCATATTCCACTTCGCAGAAGGAGACTCCGCCTTCTTCCTCGCCGACGCCGGATTCTATGAGGTCGTGGATCAAGGGGGCGACTGTGCGGCAGGTGTTACAATAGGAGGCTGTCCACTGAGTTGGAGTTAGTGGTTGCGTGACGAATGCAGGTTTGAGGTTGTGTGGTTGTGGTGTTTGTTTACTCGATACAGCCCAATTTGTATACTATGTTCCAGAACGTTTCAACCCTATGACCGTAGGGGAAATCCTGGGGTGGAGTATTTCAGAATAGATTAAGCAATGTTTATGCTTCTATCCTTAAGCTTCTTGAGACTATAGTATCCAAATTGGGTTGATTAAAAATATATTGCCTTGCCGCAAACTTGTTCAAGGGATCGAAGGAGGGGTATTCGAGGGTGTTTGTGGGTACTGACATAGGTTAAGAGAGGGTTTCGAGAGGAGGTGGACATGAGGAGGTAGGATTGGAAATCATCGGGTCGGCGAACCCTGTGAAGGATAATCAGTTAGTGTATATGACTGTTGGTTGTCATTGTCGTGTTCCAATCGCATGACCTACGGATTGTATATCCTGTTCTTCTCCTTGTTCGCTTTAGTGCTGGAAAAGTGGCGGGGTATGGGAAAGACCAGGGGGATGTTTCTCGCAATGGAGACTATCAGCAGCCTCGCGACAGGCCGAGTAATCATTATGTGCGTAATGTTTGGTGTTTGCTGTTGGTCGGCGACTCGTGAGTGGTGTCAGACGAGCGACGTGACGGTGTTGGGCTCGATTTGTGAGGGAAACGCGGCTATCTTTTCGTATCTTTCAGCCTGGTGTGGACTCGACTCGACTGATGGGACGCGACCTCGCAGGGAAGAGGACGTCATATCTTGGCGTATTTTTGGAAAGCTTGAGTGCGGTAGGTGGCTTGCTCAGGCTTGGCCCTTTGGCCTACAACAACATGGACCGCTCTATGCCCTGCCCAACTCCATCGAAACATCTCCTTCGACGACTCTTTGTCTCAAAGGTCCTTGCAGACAAAGAACCATCACGGGGACGTCCATTTGGTCGATTGCTGCAGGTATTTTGGTATCTCTCCGTCACGGGGCCTCTTCGCAGGTAATGGCCGCTGTCAATACCATGCACGGCCGTGGGGAATGCCTGCTATACCGTGCACACACCATACTGTCCATACATCATGTACGAAGTAGAGTACTGAGGAGAGATGGGGGAAAGAATCCGAAAGATGGGGTGGCCTGTCAAAGGTGGGTTCATGGCGATTCATACGTAGCATCCATACCCGGTCAATAGTACTGAATACCTCTGTAGGTCGCCTCGGTCGCCTTTCTCCAGTGAACTCCTTTGGCTCACCGTCCCCACGGCAGCGAGTATCCTTTCGGCAGAACCATCAAGGTTGCAGTAGTGGTCGAGCTACTCGAGCTAGCTGGGGAGTGACTAGCATGGACAAGGTACCCTCGCTACAGCACAGCACCAACCCTCCTACGAGATGTGACTAGCATGTTCGGGTTGCGAAGTGGCGCCTATCTGTTCTCCATCGCTGCTTCCTCATCTTACCTCTCCGCACTTATTGACATACGCAGTATACGCTATATGTAGCCAATTGCCCTCCATGACAACTCAACCGTTGCAATTTCCCCAAGAGTAACACAATTTCAAGACTGTACCTATACTCCATAGCAAACACCGCTTTCCGTGCAACCTCCTCCACCAAACATTTTATCCCTTTGAATCCTAATCCTAAAGAGCAACAAAAAAACAACTCGCTCATCGCACATAACCGACCCCTCTATTGCTACTCAACTGCAGCCCGTGATTAAACATCGAATCCTGGACCCCATCACCATCATCTCTATCTCAATCGCTCGTACCTCCGCGAAAATAACCTGCAACGCAACGCTTTAAATCCCTCCTCCAAATTTACCCCTACACAATAGACCACCCGCTGGCTACTACCACCATCCTGGCCACATGTTCAACGCTCCTTAACCACGTTGCCTCATGGACTACACCGTCGCTGCGCTACTCGGCTTCTAGGATATAAGTCAAGTGCCCTCGCCGCTGTATATAATTTCTTTTTCGCTTTTTCCCCCCACTCAAGTTGAAAGTCATTGAACTTGTCCACCATGGCGACGACGGAAAATGGTCCAAAGATAGGATTTCTCAAAGCCACTCGTTCATTTTTCAATCGGAACTCAGCCTCTGCCAATAGCAATGGAGAAGAGGACAAGGAGGCCGTGGAGAGTGAGAGTAGCGAGAGTAACGAGAGTAGCGAGACTGAGGGGGGGGATATGGGACGCCCAACAACAAAATGGAGTCTGGGAATTCTAAATGTTCCTACCACACATGAAGTACCTGGTATAATACCCAAGCCTACAATTGAAAGGATATTCTGCTAATTCTACCATTCCAGGTTCGGTCATGCTCCTGTCTGATCACCGCAATCATCCTTTGGGACTTCGAAATGTGCCAGCGGTAACTTCATCCTCGTCTCTTCCGCCGCAGATTGCAACGCCTATTCAGAGCCGGAGATCTTCGCGCCAAGAGGTGGTACAAGATCCAAAAAAGACGACTCCAGATGGTGCCATTATCCTTGATCCCCAACCAGAAGAAACCAACAATGACCCTCTGAACTGGCCAAAATGGAGAAGAGATGCTGCATTGCTGTCTTTGGGTATTTACTGTATGGTCGGTGGTGGTATGACACCAATCTTGGCCGCAGGCTTTTCTGATGTCGCTGAAACCTACGCCGTGACCGTACCAAAAGTCGCCTTGACAACGGGCTTGTATATGATGGGCCTTGGAGTAGGCTCTGTATTCGCCTCTCCGACCGCCATCCTGTACGGAAAACGTCCAGTCTACCTATTCAGTGCCGTTCTCTTCGTTGCTACCTCTGTATGGTGCGCTGCGTCTCCATCCTACATATCCTTGTTAGTCGCTCGAATTTTCCAAGGAATCTCAGTCAGTTCGGTTGAGTGCCTTCCATCTGCGACTATTGCCGAGATCTTCTTTCTTCATGAACGTGCTTATCGAATTGGTATCTATACGTTACTTTTACTTGGAGGCAAGAACTTGGTACCTCTCGTTAGTGCAGCCATTATTCAAAGTATGGGATGGAGATGGGTTTTCTGGATTGTCGCCATTGTTGTCGGCTTTTGTGGGATGCTACTATTCTTATTCGTTCCTGAGTCGTTTTGGGATCGAACGCCCCAACCGAAAGCCCGAAGACCCTCTCAGCACTCGAGGTCTCTGTCTAGAACTTCTTTATTTTCACCAAAGAGGATTTCCGTAGCACCCTCTGTGAATGAAGATGAAGGAAAACAGGGCCCTCTCAGATCACAAAAACCACAGAAACCTCCACTTACGCACCGGGATACTACCCGAAGCGTAGGTTTTGCTGATGGTGATGCACCAGACTTGGAAGAACAAGTGGACGGAGCCACTTCTCAAGCAAGTCGACCACAACGGCCAAGTCTCGCCCATCACGACTTTGAGGCCAGAGTTCAGCCAGCAGGTGGTTGCCCACCAACCCCGGATCTCCACGATATCAACTCCCCAACCTATACGGCTGCCCTGGAAAATTCGTCAACTTACATGCCTACTGATGGTAAATTCTCCAAAGAAGAACTTCGCCCTGTTCACGAGGGGAAAATTACTTTTCAGCCCGACATCATGCCACTTTCTCAACGATACACTCGTGCTCTAAGACAATCACCACCCTTATCATTTGTTCAGCAGATGAAGCCATTCCGAGGTAGACTAAGTAACGATAGATGGTTCCGAGTTGCCTTGCGTCCATTTATCTTATTTGCATATCCTGCTGTACTTTGGTCTGCTGGAGTCTATGCTTGTGCTGTCGGTTGGCTGATTGTTCTCTCGGAATCCGTATCCGAGATCTATCGTAAGCATGATACTTATAACTTCTCTGCACTATCTACCGGTCTTATTTACATCTCCCCATTCATCGGCGGTGTTCTGGGTACAGCTGTTGCGGGGAAGGTTAGCGATGTCATCGTTCGAGCCATGACGAAACGAAACGGAGGACTTTATGAGCCGGAATTTCGTCTCGTCATGGGAGTTCCTATCACCATCACCACCGTCGCTGGACTCATGGGCTACGGATGGTCGACACAAGAAAGAGATGCCTGGATTGTACCGACTGTCTTCTTTGGCATTATCTCATTTGGTTGTTCCCTCGCTTCCACGACCGCCATCACCTTTTGTGTGGATAGCTACCGTCAGTATGCGGGCGAGGCGCTGGTGACGCTCAATTTCAGCAAGAACATCTTCCACGGTCTTGTTTTCAGTCTGTTTTTCAATCACTGGTTGGAGGCGGATGGGTCGAGGACGGTGTTCATCTGGTTGGGTGTTATACAGCTGGTGCTTATGGGCTCGACGATTCCGATGTATATCTTTGGGAAGAGGGCGAGGATGTGGACGGTTAAGATGAACTTTATGGAGAAGTTTTAGAGGGGTAGAGGGGTTTGTTGTGTGGTGATGATGACTCTTTTTCTCTTTTGGACTGGATGGGTTTCCTTGCATGTTTTCTTTTGACAGGATACGGGTTTTGTTTTGGGGATTACTTCCTTCCTTCTTTTTTTGATACCACACTTTTTTATGATTGAATGAGATGATGAAAAGGTGCTTTGGATGGTTGTGTTTTTCTTTTGCGTGCATTGGCATTGGAGGAGTTTTTTCTTGAATACGAGACTGGTTCTTTCTTTGGGGGGTTCGATGCATTGTTTTCTTTTAGCATGCATGCATTGTTTGAGCGTCTCTTATTCACTCACTGTACGTCCTTTGATTGCAAAAAGTAGATGATCCTCCCAGTCCGGTTCATCAAATGAGTGATATTGTGATGTTGTATATGATGTCTTATGCGATTATTTATGGGGTTCTTTGGTTCTTTGGTTCTTTGGTGATTTTGTTGGTTTTGGTGATTGCTTGGTTTTTGAATGGGCTTTCTAGGGAGTGTGAGGGAGAGGGAGGTAGTGTGTGTTTGTCTTTGTGATGTTATGAATATGAATATGGGATTACGGAGATTTAAGAGGTGGTGGAAGGAAGGGAGATATTGGGTGTTTGCGATTGTACGTAGGAGGGAGCGTAGAGTAAGTCTTACTTTTGTTGGTCTTTGGGAGGCTGGGTGGAAGGGTGGAAGGGGGATTTATTAGCTGAGGGGGTGAGAATAGGAGGTGAGGAGGTGATGAAGAGTATTCTATGATGATTGAAATGTTAATGTTTCTAGGTGACTGAATGAGTTAGAGACTCTTGAATGATGGCAGGAAATGTTCGCAAAGACCCATGCGATTGTTAGTATTGTACTCGTACTCGTACTTGAAGTACAAGTACATGAGTACTGTATAAAATTAGCAGGAATAAGTAAAGAGTAAAGAGTTGGTATGCTAAGTATTTAAATGTTTACATATTTAAATGTATGCGGTCTACTTATCGTAGTTATATCTTTGCTTATATGTATCTATAAAGTAAGTAGTAAACGAAGTTTTCTTTACCTCTAGCTAGCCGTTACGGAAATTGAATATACTGCTTGGACGGACGGACGGAAGCGGAAGGCTGGAAGGTTAATTGATTGATTGGTCAATGAGTGGTATATGGAGGTTTTAAATGGAATTTTCTTGTTTGGCTGTGGATGTGGATGTGAGTGTGAATGTGAATGTGGTTTTTAGCAGCGACTTATGCCAGGGCATTGGATATTTGGGGATGGTTATTTATTGTTGATGGTGGTGTGGATGCTGTTATAGTATGTAAGTTGGTAAAGGAAGGTAGGTAGGTAGGTAGGTAGGTAGGTGGTGTATTTAACTTAATAGTCAATGCGTCTTCCTACGAAGCTGTCGCTTGTAGTCAGCGGAAGCAAGTGTAGCACGGAAGCAAGTATAGCATCGGGATACGAATATAGCACTTTCCTTATAACACAGCGCCACTTATACTACTTAAAAAACACATAGAAATTAGATAGACTTATAGGTATAATTAAGTACTACTATATATTAAAAGGATTCGTCTTTTTAAGTTGATTTGCGTACGATGTAGCCAAGTTTTAGTATTCCTGTACTTTGCTAAATTTTAGTAGGGTACGCAGGTAATACTTTTTTTTGCGTGCGCACCCTCGAGGCACCCTCGAGGTCGTGTACTTTCCTTTATTGTCTAGAATAACTTAATACGCTACGGTCGCATTTAGCTTCTGTACTAGAATTTTATAGAGATTGTTAAGGGCTTTGTTTTGATCCTATATAGAGGGCTGTAGCTTAAAAAGTAACTATGTTAGAACAAACCTAAGGCGCGATGCTACACTTGCTTCCGTGTTACACTTGCTTCCGCTAACTACAAGCGACAGCTTCGTAGGAAGACGCACTGACTATTAATCTTCTCTTTACTCAATAAAGTAGAGGTAGAAGTTGGATTTGTATCTTACTTTATTGGCTGATGTGGTTTACGAATATTGGGGGTTATTATACTTATTGTACGTAAACGGAGCTTAAATAGCTGTTTGGTGGTGGTGTGTTCGGTGACTCGGTGGTGTTGTTTGGGGTTTACATGGGGCTGTGAGGATCTTTTTGGTGTATGAGTATCTTGTTGTTGAATGAAGGGTTTATTTCTTGAATGAGAGGTTCTAGTTGGTAGCATGTAGGATGTGTGAGGTGGCAGGAACGTGTTGAAGGTTGAGAGTGTCATGGTTGTATTGGATGGTATTTTGGGATATAAATTTGTAACTGTGGGGTGTTTTCTAAGAACCTCAGGGGTCTTTGTAGGTGGGACGAGTATATTTATGAGTTGGTTTACGTGTTTAATTTTAGAAGCTTAATGTATCGACTCTTTCTTTTGAAGAAAACCAATAAGATTTAGTAGAACATACCTTCTGCGGGGAAGGGGGTGAACACTGTCATTGTCAAGGTCTTGGTTTGTGTAAGTAAAAGAATGTGAAATTGGTGACATGCTCGCTTGATCGCACCCCAATAATGTGGCAGGATTTATAGTGAATGAGGATGGAGGCTTAGTAAGCTAAAGTGGGATATATATATCCCACCCTACTAATGCTATATGCCTTTAACACCACCACCACAATATCCACCATATCGTCAGCTACACTTTTGTGTGAGCTCTTTTATGGAGGTAGTGGTGCTCGCTCTATTTTCGCTCCTTTCGCGTGCGACGATTATTCCTGCGCGACAATACTACGTACTCGGAAAGAAATATACGATATTCCGGTGCGGGGAACAAACGCACGATTTTAGCTCCTTTTTTAAGCTCGATCCTTAACTACCGACGTACTAACTCGCATCGGGATGGCATGTATGGGTCGGAATGGCACAAGGAGATGGATAGACTGGATTCGCTAGGTAAGGAGGGCTCTCTGGGTATGGTTTTGGCCTAAAAGAATAGGTTTTCCTATGCTTGTTACACAAATGTGAGAGGGGTAGATATTTGCAGGGTAGGCGCTAGATACAGGCGCTAGATACAGGCGGTACAGATTAGACGGTAGATATGCCTACTGGATAGGAGAGTTTATAAGGATAGTCCTTCCTTTTCTCCCTTTTTCGTCTTATTCTTAGTTTTCTCCCCCCCCTTTTCCCCTTGTTCTGTTTTGTGGCTGCTTCCTTTCGCGCTACGCTACTTAATACGACCGAGGGTGCTTATACTTCGCTTTCCACTTATATATATGGGCGAATTATAAGCACTTGAAGCTAGCCAGCAATACAAAAGAAAACCAACAATAAGCCTCCTTTGATTAATGTGATGTGTACCGACTGACGATTGAACATAAATCAATAACAAAGTCCACATTGAAGACTGTGAAAAAACTCTAAATACATAGCAACTACCGTTATACTCGATATTACTTAAGGTTACAACTCAAAGTTATCATGATGCTTCATCATCTAAGAGAGTTAAGGCCTAGGCTTATTTAAGCTCCGATTTGCAGAGCCCGTGTACCCTAAAGGAGAAAACTCTGAGACTGGTAAAACATGTGATAGTGTTTATTGTCGATATTTCTAGAAGCACGAGTCGGAATATTGAAATCCTTAAAAGGTGGGCTGGAAAGGGGGTATACTTTAAAGAGGCTTGGTATTGTAGTAGGTGCATGTTGGGGCAAAGACGACACGTGATTTTCTCATATTGTAACTGTAAAGGGGATTTTGATTAGAGAGGGCGCGCATTGACTGATATCTCATACCTAAGGTGCGGTGACGAGAATGTAATTTATTATGCTTGTGGACTTTGAAGCGTAGCCTCTAAGAAAAGAATGACGTCGATTTTGAGATGTGTAGTAAATGTAGAAGGAAGGACTAATTAGTAAACTTCCTCACGTACAGAGCTTGCTGAGAATAGATACTATATAGACCGCTTCGGCGAAAGTCTTGTTCCTTGTATAATTGCCTAGAAAATCAAAAGAGATCACAGATATAGGATGCACATTACTACGAATTTACCCATAAGTTATGATTTGATACTGTACTAAGTCTTTTGTTAATATCTATTCTCGAAACTCGCTACGTCATACTGTATGAACACGAGTACAGACTCGACTGAGTAGGTACAATAGATGTACTGTACGTAAGATTGGTAACTAATATTGAAGTGGGCACATCTATGAAGTGTTGCTCTTAGTAGAAAGATGAGTTTACCGCTAAGAGAAGTCGGAAACTACATAGTCCTCATGGTAAAATCTCGCTATAATAGAGAGGGGTATTTGAGAGTAGACACGAGAGTAGATCAGTAAGTAAGCTTTCTTACTACTAACGGAAGGGAGGATGCGTATCAAGTTAGTAACTTATTCCTTTCACACCAAGGTAGATCTCCCCCATTGAAAGCGATAGGATGAAGAAATCCCATAGAACGTTTATCGGTCACCAGTGGCACCGGTAATCTTCTTTCTATGTTTCGCCTTATGGCTAGAAGCAGATCATTTGTTATTCCGGCAGAAAGTCAGTTATACATAAGAGTCGTTCTCCATTGAGTTTTGGCACTCCCACCTTTAGGAAATGGCAATCGCTTACCATTGGATATAACTACCAACAAGCACATGTACAGTCAGGCGGACCGCAAAACCGCTACCGCCACCGCAGTTCCCAAATCTTTCAATATAGAAAAATTGCTGTCCATGAGGGTGTCCTTAAACAACATCAGGAAACGAGATGCTTCATGGCTGGTCCAACCATTCAGTTGTAATCTTAGAGATCATCCACTATGTTATTCTCAGGTTACTCACGTTTCTCCGTTTGCCTTCGATAAATATATTTTATCTAGAACTGGGTAGGCATGTAGCCCAGAGAGACAGATCACTCCGCTCACTGAATCGTATCCATCGGGGGATAAATCGCTAGCCGTCCACCCGCTGAAAGCCCCTCACACTTGGCGTGCATAAGCGAGGAAGCGATTCCCTAGCCGAAGGCAATACCACTGTATGTCCACAATATTTGTACTTCGGCCTCACCTACGCACGTTTTGCCAAGTTACCCCAGTTTCCCAAAATATCATTTAAGTTTGACGCTCAACCATGATCCAATATTTCGGATATAGGTAAGGTAAAGACTATCGAGGTGCCGGATAATGGTTCAGCCTTATGGAATCTTGAAGGCTAATGGAAGGTAAGCTAAAGCGGGTTCTTTGGATTCATTATATTACAGAACGGCAAGTCGGTAAGAGGATTACTAAAGGGTGAACTCAGGATAAAGAAAATACTATACAACGTGGTAGACAAAAACGCACTTCGAATACTTACCAAAGTAGGTGAGGTGAGGCTTCGAGAGTTCAGATTGACACTAGAGTAGAGTAATCCACACTCTACCACGGTGGGGGTACCCGGTCCATGATCATGACCAATGAACACCGCTCGTAAATTCATATAACGTTTCTGCAGGGGACGAAGCGAAGGCATCGTCCAAACCCAATTCTTGATATATTGAAACTTGAAACGTCCATGGTGCCCACAATTACCCGATGGGGGAGCTTGCAGAGGGTTTCAATAAAATAAAGAAGTTGGGTTTTTATTTCTCTCAATATCTTACGTGATTGCTTTCTCTTTTCTGAATGCAGGAGAAACGATGCTTCAAGGTCGTCCCCACGAGAGAGGAGTCTTGGTAGGGTTATCACCATGATCCTATCTGCTGGCCACTTATGGATAGGACTCTGGTTCATTTCCTCTTCAGCTTTCGGTGATAGGGGTGCAGACGCTAAATCGTGGTCACAAATAGGATAAACACCTGCACAGTATTCTTTGGATACGCGATGTTGTGATAAACTTGGCAATCTTTAGGTTTTGGAGTGGATACAGGATGTGCAAAAAGGGGTAGTTGGGTTTAACCAGTAGATTCTCACGGATTCGCTTCTGCTAGCTAGATCGTCAAGCTGTGTCCTAGTACGAAAAGAGACACTCAGAGACTCTAAAGGTACTATTGGTGGCGAAAGTGCTAGTATTTAGTTTTATGGACACTTTTAAAACTCGAAAGCGAAGTAAGGATATCTCGCGGACAACCTACTTAGGCCAAGTACCTGAAGGGGCTGAATAAACACAAATCCGTTACCTGGAGAGCCAGAGGAGCCTAACTAACATGTAGGCCAAGAATGCTGGGTTTATGCTTTGGGTCCTATGAGGGGCTTTCAAGAGAGACTACTCTGTGCTTCATCGATTCAGCCTCTTTGGCAGATGGCGTAGATCTTGCCCCAAGAATAACTTAAATAGTATGAAGACCCTCTTTTAAAGGCTGGCCACACATCCGGGTTATCAAGTAGAACCTATTGGCAGTAAGGGATGGCCTTGATTGGCAAGTCAACTTTGTCCTGAAACACTTACTGTGGGTAAAGAAACAAACCAACAAACACATGTGGAAAGTGTGGATAAAAGCTCGACTCAAGTCTAAATGACGACGATATCAGAACAAATCCTCCCTTGAATAAACGTTTCTTGGCCAGATCGCAGCTTTTAGCTAATCGATATGCTAATCGGTATCACAGCCAAGCAATATCAAATCCAAGCTCTCTCGTAGCTTCTAGCTTCTCCGCTGAAAGAGAACTCTCTGGACTGTGCCTCTGACTTGGTCTTTGAGCCCAATAAAGTCTGAATTCGTTCAATCTGACATCTCACACCATCGTGGCAAGCGAATTATTGAACGGGCTTTCGTTATAGGATGAAAGCATTGTTAGTAGCTCCACCTCGAGCCATGATGGCTTCGAAAGACCCGTTAGCTATTGTTTATCGGCGACAAAGTAATTAATTAAACAACAGCTTCAAGGTATTGAGTAATCTATTTAGCATGTTGGTAATATTGTTAGACATTTGAGCACCTTGAGGATGGAATCGTATGAGGTATGAATATTGATTGAGAGTTGATCAGGTAAGTCCTTATGAGTACATAATGAAGTAATGTAACCAGTCTCTCTATCCTGATCATTCACATCATCTCACATCGTCTCATATCTTCCAATCTTCCAATCTTTCAATCTTCCAATCCCATAGCATTCCGATTTCTGCTTCGATCTTCAATCTTATCAATTATCTAACTACCACCAAACATAACACTCAACAGTAAGTTATCTCAGAGTATCTCATTCATGAAAAAGCTAACGAAATCAAGTGTACACCTCAAAAATCGTCCTCACAGTCTTCGCACTCTTTCCCTCCATCAAGGCAGGCACCACAGCACCCCACGCAGCCGCGCTCCTCAAAAGACAAGGATTATACACCTGGGAAGCCGAGGGAAACGACTGCGATGTCCACATCAACGCCTGCATCATCCGAGGCGGCGACCCAACCCTCGACGAGGACGACGACAACTTCAGCACCGGATTCGGCTGTCCCAAGAAACTACAAACGTTCATCTCAAAGGTCGCAAAAGGGATCAATGATGCGGGAGAGACCGGATATTGTAACATTACTGTGAAAATCGACAAGAATTGCTGTGTCAATAATAGATGCTCGGTTTGGGAGGTCAATAGAAATCGACGTGTGGTTAAGACGAATGGTGCTTATGAGGAGGAGACGCAGGGGGATGTGCATTTTTCGAAGGCGTGCCCGAAGGGTACTTATATTCAGAGTGAGACTCGCCTTATTTGAGGGGATTTATGAGGTGAGGGGGGTTCTTGTTTCATGGGCTGGTTGTTAATCAGATCAGGTTCTGGTTTCGTTTAGCGAGGATTTGGTGGGCTTGGTGTTCTTAAAATTTGTGTTTTGTACTTACAGTATCATTTTGGTTGGACTTTGGGAATTCAATGCAAAAGGAAGTATTCATTTTCTCCTAGTGCTCGACATTCTTCTTATTAATGTGATGAGAGGTCTTCAATAAAGATCATTACCCCCCTTCTCTTCACCCCAATCCCTGCATGCGAAATCAACCCATATGTAGTACTTTTTTCCCTCCACTAAGCAAACCCAGGCTTCATTCTAGGCTTCAACTTCTTCTTCAGACTCTCAATCATGCGATCCGTCAATTCCTTCTGCTCCACTCCCTTTTCATAATTCAGCGTGCCATTCTGGACAACCGAAACATACCACTCGAACTTTTGCAGTACAGGGAGGTTATTGTTCATCTCAAACAACCATTCCGGTTCCTGCTTTAGTCCCAAAAAGTGTTTAGCTTGTCTTTCACGAAGTCGGAAGAATACTCGGATAGAATGTAAGCCACGTAAATTCTTCTTGATGTAGCGACAAAGGTATGCAACATCTTTCAGCTCCGTCACGAAAGGTTTCTCGACCTCGGTGTAATTCACGCCAAAGGGTGTTGTAATTGTGATGTGTCTTATTCTGAGATGGTGTTCTTGTGCGGGGCAAGGAGCTGGTTTCGAAGGATTAAATCCCTTTACAAGGGTCAGCATGTTGACATTCATAGCATTGCAATACAGTAACATAAAAGCTTGAAAGAAAGCTGGAATAGACTTACCCAACCATAAGTGTGTTCAAAAGAAGCTCGCCGCGCAACAAAAGTAAAGTCGAGCACAATGCTGTCCCACAACCAATCTAAAAAGTCGTTCAAAACACCAAGTCGTCTGCATTTTAGTTTCTGTCTATCGAGTAGTTCTCCAGTACAGCAGTTGCACTTGCTTCGCTTCGGACACCATTGTCTTCCTTCAAAGACTCTAAGAGCCTCTAGGAATCCTTCGATATTTCTATACTCGGATGCTCTGAAGTAGGCGGGAGCCACTTCGTCGGCCAAGACATACTTCGGTTGGGTTCTTGGGGTTTTGGTTCTTCGCGCGATGCCCATTTCAAAGATTCTCGCAGTGCTCTGGGTAATGGCGGGTGCGGGAGATGAGAAAGCAACAAACTCATAAATCATGTATCTAATCTCTGCAGGCAGGGCCATCAATCCTTGCATCAACCTTTGGAATTTGTTAGTCTCTTGGAAGCTAGAAGTTTCTGTGCATGTACTCACGAGAATTGAGACTGTACATTGTAGTTGTATGGGTGCCCTTTTGATACATCAGGGTAGAAAGGATTCGGTATCTTGCGGAGATCGCCTATATTGTGATATTCATGTCCAAAAAATTGGAGTGGTAGCATATTATGTCTGCGGAATCCCGCGCCTACATCGTGGCTACGACAAATACAATCTGGCATAAATATTGGCGGGTCCACTTCATCCTTCGGGCCTCTCGATTTTAGGGAAAGATTGAGTTTGCGTGGTATGCAAGAGAGTATTTTGCATGTCCGGCTCTTTGACTTGGAGCAAGCTGGTGGGGACGAGGTCTTGAGAATCTGCATAGCCACTGCCTCGATGATAGCCCGTCTTTCATACCGCGACTTTCGGGGATCCAAACCTTGAGCCAGATCAAATAGATCTTGTTGTGACTTGATGCGTCCAAGATCGCCGAGGCCCTGCTTTGAGAGATCGATCTCCCACCAAAGGTAGAGTCTAGCTCGTTGCATCTCTGCAGTTTTGAAGATTGCAATAGTAGACAATGCTGGCATCTTCAGTGCGATCGGTGTATGTAGTTCTGGGGCTTCGGAAGAAAACGCTGCTCCCATAATTCCAAGATAAGTTGAAATATCTCGGCAGGACAACGCTACTCAGAGGGTTTTCCCAAGTGTGGAAGAAGACTGGTTCTGTCGTACTGAGAATGATTGATGAGTAATCCTGATACGGGAGGTTTGGCTTTGTTGACGCAGCTAGGGGGAATTAGTTTTAGACTTCAAAGTGGAGCATGAAGAGATAACCAAACAAAGGTAGAAACATACAAACACTGGACTGCACGAAAGGAACAAAACCAGCTTTCCCTATTCCTTGGGATGCTTGTTGAAAAGCTTGTGGGTGGAATGAGGAAAGTAAAATGGGTCATAAAAGTGTGCTGAAGTGTAGGCGGCATATGTTACCCAGGTTGGATGTCAGTAAAGTGGCCTAGGCTAACGAGATGTCAGGAACGAGTGTTGACTGCCGTAAAGAACTAGATCAACTACTAGGCCAAGCATAATTTATACCCTAGCCCTAGCTACAGCACAGACCACAAACATGGTGGTTGTAGTTGTTGATCAACAACTCTTGGGTGAATTTAGAACATGAGATAGGACATAACAACAATAGTTACAAATATAAAAGGTACCCATGTGGCGTGTGCTTCAAAACTACGTGGGTAGTCTAGGATATTCACTGAGAATTAGGAGTTATGCCAGAAGCCTATTCAATAAAGGATGATCTGACCACGTCACTGCGGCCCTGGAAAACCGAAAGTTGCTGATCGTTGCTGGCGATGTACTTCCAATCAGTTTCCATGGGAGGACCCAATTTTATGGGGCTTGGTGAGTTTTAGTGGGCCCAGATACCATTGTGAAGAGCTGTCCTAGTGGGGAGCTTTGGGAGACCTTGGAGATATATTTTGACTGGTCTATAAGTGAGGACCCAACTGCTACTACTTGATAAATGCCCTTACCCACCAGGAAATGAAGTGACGTGGTCAGACACCTTTAAAGTTGATGATGAATGTTTTCTCTGTTTTTCAAGATTAGGTATGAAAATTAAGTAAGACTTGATGATTACAGTATTATTTCCATATGCCTGAAACACTCCCCAATAGGACTGACCAAAGAGAAATACCACAGTCATCAAGTGCTGCGAATAGCATTGAAGAAAGAGGAGAGACAGAGAGATTGGCACATGTATACACGGAGCTGTTGATCTATTTTGTTTGTGGATGCAATGGTTTTACGACGTGCATTGAACTCTTAGAAACGCTAAAACACGCTTGCTTATCGCTTACAGCTTTTCTCAGTTCCAGAAATTTGGATCTACACCTGGTCCATAGCTACTAATCATAAACTACGCTCTCCCTATATGCTCTAAAATCATACCAACTCTTTCTGAGTATCCTTGTATACAATATTAAACCATATCCACTATGAATTAACTTGGACGTGATCCTTTAGAGTAAATTAACTTTTTGTGTAAAAATGAGGCTATTTACACTTCCTTCAAAAGTGCGATGTGCAACAAACCTAGAACTTTGTTGTATATCGCAATTCATGTACGCTTCTAGAACCATTTTACAAGCGGGTTTATTTTTCAAATTATATCTAGCAAATCTAGCTTCTCAAACTGCTTTATGAGCTCATAAGAAAGTGCGACATGCAATATAAGCCAACAAGTATAGGTTTGTTGCACATCGCAATTTCCGTAGGCTTTCATTTACACCCCCTGTAGCCTAGGGCAACCCCCTAGCGTCATTTGCCCAACAATGGGACTTTTAGGACCTAGCCCACGCGAGTTAGATTCCGCCTGACGTTAAATAGTAATAAATAAATAAATAAATAACACTAAAATGCTATTGCTACTCTTGTGGCGGCTAGGGCATGTCCTATCACACGACGTTGCCACAAAGGATGATACCTCCTTCAATTAAGCGATCAATGATCTGGTCACCTACGGTGTGATTATAGTAATTTCGGTGAAATTGTATAATAAAATCTATAGCTGCGGCGCTTATGGCTGCGCGTACCCTGCCGGGAAATTCCCGTGTGCCGACATCCTCCCGCTGTGCCGAAAAACCCTGCGTGCCGGAACAAATTAATAGGTACGTACTTTGACTTTATATATCTCAAAATTTGTATACACCTAATGTTTCTCATGATTTTTATAAATTACATTCCGTGGCTACTCCTAGACCTAATCGGCAATTAAAACTAATCTGTAAATAGATTAGCTCCGAAAATGATACTATTACGTTACTAATCACATAACGGCTAACTTACGTAGTAAGCGTAGAATGACGTATACATCTACAGAAGAAGCTTCTAGAATATTCCAAGTTGTGCTAGCAGCTACTACCTAATTACAAAGACATGTTTTATTAGCCTTGAAAATAGTATATTAGGAACAGCTTCCCCATACCTCTCTTTATCAAAGTTATTAAATAAATATAACAGTTAACATAATTACAAAGTAGAAAGAGACGAAGACTATCTAAAATATTTCTTTACATATTGTTTTTAACTTTTTTCAAGTTGTAGAATAGAAATACCCCCTGACGAATGTCCTATAACAATTGTGTCATTCCACACAGCTGCAGACACTAGACGATAATCTGGAGGAAGCCAAAGAATGTTTTCCTTGTCCTTCATTACCCAATTATCTAAAACTGTAAGGCTATGTAACGAGAAGGCCACGGAGTTGACGCAGTCGGAATGGCCCTCGAGCGTCTGCAGCGGCGTGCCTGTGCTGGCGTCCCAGAGCCGCACTGTCTGGTCGTCCGAGCCTGAGGCCACCACCTTGCCATCTGGCGAGAAGGCCACGGA